CCACTGCCGACGGAACACCGACGGGACGCCACAGGACACCAAGCGCGCGACCGCGCGCCCACCCGGGGGGCAGAGGGGCCGCCAGCTGCATTTAAATCCCACCAGCCCACTGGGCGCAAGTGGTCTAGCGATGTCTTTCTCTCCTCCTCCAAAAACCCGTCTTCCCCTTCGGGGGTTTGCCCCTCCTCCTGCCGCCTCCCCTGGACCCGGACGGGAGGGGCCGCGGTCGGTTGGAGCGTCCATGATGGCCTCAAGATGGCTCCAAGCGGGCCTCAGAGAGCCGAAGATGGCCTCCAAGATCACCAAGATAGCCCAACATGGCTCAACACAGCCAACAACATGCCTCCAAGAGGCCCCCAACTGACCACAAGACGATTCCAGGTGCTCTCGGAACCCCCTCAGGACCCATCCAAGAGCCCCAAATCCCTAACAACCTAAGGAAATTTGATGCTGTTTGCCTTCTCACCGTTTCGCTTCCGACGCGCTTCCGAGGCCTCAGGATGGCCCCAAGATGGCCCACGAAGGCCCCACAAGGGGCCCAATAGGCCCCCAAGACTGCCAAAAGAGCGCTCAAGAGCGCCCCGAGAGGGCTCCAAGAGAGAGGTTTGAGGGCCCCAGGGGGGGACCTCGATCGGGACCCCCCCTCCTTTGATCGATAGGCTGGAAGATGGCCCCAAAAGGCGCTCCAGGGCTCCCAAGAGAGCCCCAAGGGAGCCCCAAGAGGACTCCAACAGGGTCCCAAGAGAGCCCCAAGACGGCTCCAAGAGGGCCCAAAGACACTCCAAAAGAGCGCGAATATGGTTTCCAAGATGCGATGTTCAGGGCTCCAGAGGGGGGAGGGGGGCGACATCGAGAACCCCTCCTCATCTGATCGATACTCTCCAAGATGTCCTCACGATGCCCCCAGGGGTCCCCCCGAGAGGCCCCAAAGAAGGGTCAAGATCCTCCTCGTCCTCGTCCTCATCCGCGTCCTCGTCCTCCTCGTCCTCCTCCTCCTCCTCCTCCTCTTCCCCTCGCCCCCACGCGGCACCCAGGGATGGCCCGAAGAGGCCTTCCAAGGCCACCCCTTTGCTCGTTTTGTTTCCCTAAATGTCTCTTCGTCCCGTTTCCCGTCAGCTCTGAAAAGCAGGGTTTCTGAGTGGGCTGGTGGGGATACGCGAACCTCAACATTACGAAAAGCGGGACGCGCTCCTCACGCAGGTGGCAACGCCACGGCCCCCAAACACAGTCTTCTAAACACTTCAAGCGCACAATAGTGTTCAATGGTGCTGGACGTCGCCCTTACAGAAAGAACAGTTTCGCGTGCGAGATCCCCAGACTCTGAAACTCAACATATCCAAAAGTTGCCCCCACTTGAACCAATGGCATCCTCGCTGGATGCATCCTCTAATCATTGGCCTTGGAACATTTCCTGAACTGCCATCGCACGGTGCGGCACGCCCCCACGCGCCACACACACACGCACACAGACACGCACATACACTTGTTTTCCGTCGGCGGCGAAGCGGAGGCAACCCGCACCGGCGCGGGGCTAATCGGGGCAACCGGTGGGCAAATTGTCCGGCGTGCAAGAGTGAGAGAGAGAGAGAAAGAGAGAGAGGCGAAGACGAGGGCGGCCGCGCGAAGAGTGGAGGGGGAGGGCGTTCAGCCGTGGAAGAGTTCCGCGGTGAGCGGGCTGGAGCGGCCAGCCAGGGCAGCGGGGGACCGTGGCAGCAGCCGCGGCCGAGGCCAGGGCGCACCCGCGGGCGCTGCCAGAGCGCAGTGACGGTGAAGATCAAGTAGAAACAATACTGGGGCCCGAGGGCTGCCATCAGCAAAATGCTAAATCCACCAGGTGCATCGACTTTGCGGTGCCTACTGCACTAACGCGGCAGCCACGTCAGGGGCTGGGCGTCGCGTCGGAGCGGCACCAGGTGCGTGGGGCTGAGCTGCACGCCGAGGGCGAAGCAGCGCGGCGGCGCCATGGCGGCGCCAGGTGAGGGAGAGAGAAAGGCAAAAGGGGCAGGGGAAGGGGAGAAAGGAACGCCCCGCCCATGGGTGGCACCCGACGGGCGGGGCGGCAGCAGTCAGCAGCGGGGCAGCGTGAGCGGCGGCCCGGCTGAGCGTTTGGAGGCACCCATCGATACAGCGACCAGGTGGTGACTGCAGTCGGGGGGGCGGCAACACTGAGGCCAAAGGCCCGTGCGGGTGCCCAGAAACGGGCCCGCGCACCGTGGCGGCGCGGCGCCAGGGCCAGGGGGGCCCGGATGGCACGCGAGGGGCCGGTGGCGCGCCACGCGGGGTGGCGGAGGCGCGCCAGGGGAGGGGAGGCGACGGGGGCCGCCGAGGCGGGGGGGAGGAAAGGAGCAACGACATGTGGAAGCGGTGCTGCGCGCCGCCTGGGCAGACAGCGCGCAGCCGGAAGTCTCGCACATACACACACACACCGCAAGATGTGGCAAGCCCAACCGCGTTCGACTGCGACCGCGCTGCTGCACCTCCTTCCCAACGGCCCCCTGGTGATCCTTATTGTCCTCCTCCTTCTCTCCGTTCTCCTGCGCTTGTCCATCTCCTTCCTCCTGCTCCTGGGACCCGGCTTCACATTCCTCTTCTTGCCAAGTTCCTGCAATCCTTGCGTGCTGCGATCCTTCCTGTGTGAGCCTGGGCACGCACGCGCCACTTGCCCCCTGGACCGCGCGGATCTCTCGGACAGGGCTGAACCTAAACGGTGTGGTTCGTTTTCGTTTTGTTTTCGTTTTCCCTCGTTTTGTCTTCAATCCACCTCTACCGCAAAACGAAGTCGAAACGAAAACGGCCCACGAAATCGCCAACACACCGTTTAGGTCCAGCTCTGCTCTCGGATCGGCATTGGGCTCCCCTGGCGGCGCCTGCTCCGGGCGCCCAGAAGGCCCACGCCGACCCAAGAGATCCGCGCGGACCTCCAGAAGGCCGTGCTCCTGCCGTGCTGTTTGTCCACCTCTCGTCGAGGCCTTGCCGCTGGAGCCCTGCGCACCCTCGCCGTCCGCGAGCTCAAATACCTGTGCGACGAACAGACATCGGGTCTTGCGCGATATGGCGTAGCGACCTTCCGCGGCGGCTTACGCGGGCCGCCCTCGTGGCGCGCCACGCTGGGAACGAGGGCGCTCACGCGCGGCCTCGCGCGGGCAGCTCACGCGCCAGCGCCGGCGCGGACGACCCCATTCTTTCGGGCGACGAGAAATATGCACATGCACCGATCCTGGCCAGGCCCATCTTGGGTCTAGCATCGGTGCACGCGTCTTCTTGCCCGAGGCAGGAGGGCGCACGCACCGATCGTGGGCTCAGGATGGAACAGGAATTTCCCTGCCTCCCTCGCCTTGCGCTGCGAGGCCCACTGCAACGCATCCGCCGCTCGGAAGCGCGCCCAACCGGCGGACCGCCGCGGCGCGGCGAAGGCCACCGTGACGTGCTGGTGCGCCGCGGCGGACACCAGCAGGGGCGCCAGTGCCGTGGGCGCCCCGCCCGGCGCCAGCCGCGCCCGCGAGCGGAGGGCACCAGCCCTGGCCTGCGCCGCCGCCGCCGCCGTCGCCGCCGTCGTCGCCGCCGCCGCCGCCGTCGCCGTCGCCGCCGCAGTCGTCGTCGTCGTCGTCGCCGTCGTCGCCGCCGTCGCCGCACCGGCCGCCGCCGCCGCCCCCGCCGCCGTCGTCGTCGTCGTCGTCGTCGTCGTCGTCGTCGCCGTCGCCGTCGTCGTCGCCGTCGTCGCCATCGTCGCCGTCGTCGTCGTCATCGTCGCCGTCGTCGCCGTCGTCACCGTCGTCGTCGTGATCGTCGCCGTCGTCGTCGTCGTCGTCGTCGTGATCGCCGTCGTCGTCGTCGTCGCCTTCGCCGTCGCCGTCGGCCTCGACGGTGAGGCCAGCGCCTGGGCTGCCGTCCCCGGGGCCCCCGACGCCCTTCACCTGCAGCACGGTCAGCCGCAGGAGCCCCTCGGGGTGCGGCGTGCCACGGAGGGCGGGGCGAGGACTCCGGGGACCGGCCACAGCGGTGCTGAAAACGCAGTGGCGCTTGCAACACAAAAAACCGAAACGAGGCCCGACGTTTGAAAGGAACGTGTACAACGAAGCCCTGGGCCAAACGAGCATGAACGACGAAACGGGTCGTTTAAAGCAACAACGAAAAACGAAGCGAAACAGAAAAGAAGAACGGAACGAACGACAAAAACAAGGGCCCAACCCAAGTTAAACAGCGTTGTGGTCTGTCCTTGGAGGACACCGACACCCTCTCGTTGTGAGAAAAAAGGCCCAACATCTATGCCCATTTTCGGCCTCAGGGGGCCATCACTGGGCTGCGGAACCGTCAAACAACTACGTCAGGTGCCGACTTCGGCGTTGGTTTCTGACACCGAAACGTCCAAATCGTTCCACATCGAACGATTCTGGGTCGCCCGCGGCGTTCAAAGTTGAACGCCGCTGGCGGGGTCGCCGCCAGTCGACACGACACGAACCTATCGTACTCATGATGAAAAGTGGTCTTGGGGAAGGGGTTCCAGATCTCCGGGGAGCCACGCTGCGATAAAACAAAAATCACGACGGCAGATGTCTAGGCGGTTGGCGGCCTTGAGAAGGCAGGGGGGGTGTTCTGGCGGGGTGATCGGGAGGGTCGTCTAGGACGAGCCCCCCTGGAGCAGGCGACGGCGGCGACGACCGCTGGCGAAGACGACCGCCAGCGAAGGCGACCGCTGGCCAAGCCGACGGCTGGCGAAGGCGACCGCCGGCGAAGACAATCACAGAGAAGACAATCGCTGGCGAAGACGACCGCCGGCGAAGTCGACCCCAGCGAAGACGACCGCGGGCGAAGACGACCGCCGGCGAGGGCGGGGAGGGGCCGGCCATCTCAGAAGCCAGGAACTTCTGGTTTGGACGCCCGAAGGCTTCTGAGAAGGCGTCTTATCTGGGCCTCCCGGATCCAAGACGGGGCCCAAATATGGGTGGGGCAGGAGGGCCGCGCCACCACGTCGCCGCTGCACCGGGGGCTGCGCCGGCTGCTCGATGTGGGCCTGGCCTTCTCCGCGCGGACGTCGCCAGCGTGCTCGCCGAAGCATCGCCGATGCCTCGCCGATGCCTCGCCGATGCCTCGGCGATGCGGCGCGACCTTCCGGCCCTTGGCTGCCTCGGACCCCGTCCGGGAGGCCTCCCAATCGCAGCGGGCGGCGAGGCTTCCGAGGGCCTCCGCCCCCGTGAAGAACGCCGCTCCCCGCGCGCCCGCCTCGGGTCAGGAGTCTGGCCAAGCCTGCAAGCTCGCTGCTCGGGCCCAGCCAGGGGCCCGTGCGGCCCCGCTTCCCGAGCCGTGCCAGGCCGTGGCCACGAGGGCGCCCCTGGATCTCCCCGACGTGTCGACTTCCGCCAACTCCGCGTCGAGTCCGTACCGAGCCCACGTCGGGCACAAGAGAAGACGCCAATTCTGGGGACAGACGAGGTCCCCCGAAGATGCAACGTAAACAGCCTTTGCTTCTTGGAAAGTCGAAATCAAAAGATGCCCCGGGCGAAACGCCATTGCGGCATGACGGAAGCATGGATCGCCGGGTGCGCCGAAGAGTGGCCAGGAAGAGGGGGCGTAGCGCTAGGTCGGGCAACAATAATCAACACATATTCAAACATATTTGAAAATAAAAGAAGCATCGTCCTCATAAAATGTTTCAAAACTATTTTTGAAGATTCCCCCTGTAGCAGGACATGCCCGACGTCGGCGTGGCGCATCAGGGGCCGGAGGCATGAAAGCGGACGAGGGGGGGCGAGGAGCATGCTGAAAACTGTGAGAGAAACAGGAACGTTTTCTTATTCGGCGTTTCGACATTGGGCGGAAGGGGGGGCGAGGGGTGGGGAGGTCTGGCTCCGGACCCCTGCTTAGCGCGACTGTTTGCAACAGTGCGTCCGATGGGAGAGACTCCACCTGCTCGGAACAGGCGCCGATCGGCAAAGTAATGAATTCGCCGGCCCAACGGGCCAGGGCGTGCTAAGATCTCCGGTAACTGGTTAACAGTATTAACAGTATTTCTAGTTCGCGCGCGCGGGGCGGCCCCTGGGGGTCCCCCGGCGAAAAGTACCCCGACCAACGCCCGACCGCCGCCCGACCGCCGCCCGACCGCCGCCCGACCACCGCCCGACCAAGTCTACTCAGAGATGGTTTTCCTTCTGGGTGCGGCCTCTCAGGCTCCCCAGAGCGCGCTCAGAGTGCCCCAAGAGGCCCCCAAGACTGCCCAAGAGGCCCCCGAGACGCCCAAAGAGCGCTCGAAGACGCCGAAGATGACCCCAAGACGGCCCAAAAGGCCCCCAAGACAGCCCAAGAGGCCTCCAAGACGCCCCAAGAGCCTTCCAAGAGGCCTCCGAAGAGAGCCCCAAGAGGCCAAAATCGTTGATTTTCATTGGTTTTTTCGATGTTTTTTGTGTTCTGGCTTTTTCGGCTTCCGGACGCTCCAAGACGGCCCAAGAGGCCCCCAAGACCGCTCCAAGACGGCCCACGAGGCTCCCAAGACGGCCCCGGAACGGCCCAGGAGGGCCCCCAAGACGGCCCAAGTGCCGCCCAAGACGGACCAAGAGGCCCCAAGACGGGCCCAAGAGGGGCTCAAGAGGGGAACCGAGAACTGAAAAATCGAGCCCTCCGCCCCAGAAGGCGCCCAGGAGGCCCCAAAAAGGCCCCAAGAGGCCCCCAAGAGGCCCCCAAGACGCCCCAAGAGGCGCCCAAGAGGCCCAAAAGAGGCCCCAAGAGGCCCCAAAACGGCCCCCCAAACTCGGCTAGCCCACAACGGTGCGACAATATGGGCCGGCGGAATGAGCGAAGCGATTAATAAGAAAACGATCACACGTTGAAAGAAGAAGGAGGGCCTGTGAAATGTGGGAGATAGGGTAGGAACTCGACCACAAGAAATCTTCCCAAAGAAATCCAATCCTGAGACCCCAGGACGTCCAATGACTTTTGGTGCGGGAGCGTCACGCTTTCCACAGCAAAACCATCGAAACCCAAGAAACCCAGGGCACACTGGAGGCAAGCAGGGTGTATCTTGGCATTGGTTTCCACTGCAGCATGGCCCCGGCCATGAAATCTACACCCGCGGCCAGGATCTCCACACCCATGTCCACACCTGAGGAAAAATCATGGGTCCTCACTCGAGGGGAGACGACAAGGGGGCAACGGCTCTCAAAGGGGGAAGCATGGACCTGGAATCGGCGACACGTGGCCAAAAGATCGGCGATGTGTACCCCCGATAGCGAGACCGCACACACGCTTGGGTGGGGTGAGGCACCCGGGCCCCGAGTGGGCGATGAATGGGCGACTGGGGGTCGATGCTCCTCCCCCCCTGGGCCAGCACACCCCGGTAATCCTCGTCGTCTGACAGTCGGGACATACAGGCCTAGGAGAAAAGATAACGAACACGCACGCCACACTCATCGGTCCACGCCTCCCCCTCCCCAAAATGCGTCCCAGAAGTTCCGGAGCATCCAGCGGCCCTCGTTTCCAGAACCCATGAGGGACACTATGACATCCTGGAAATCTGAGACGGCATCATTCTGCCATCTCGCAGCTCTGAGAGAAGAGAGTGTGCTGGCCGTGGAAAATCGGCGTGCCGACTTATGTCGGGCATGGACAGACCTCCCTTTTGCAAAACGTGAGTTAGTGAAAACGACCTGAGGCCCAAAACTGGCGGGCGCAGGCCTGGAAAATGGCGGCCACGGCGCCCTCTCGAGAACCGAAAACGGACAATCCACTGATCGACGTGTCACTGTTGGGGGTTCTGTCCACCCCCGACTTATGTACGATAGAGTGTGCGCGCAGCGTCCCCCGCCGCCCCGCTTCCGAGAGGCCTCCCAAAAGGGGGTGCGAGCAGAGATGTGGTCGGAGGGCCGCGCTGCACCGCCGAGGCATCGCCAGTGCACCGCCGACGTCGGCGACGCGTCGGCGAAGTCGGCGTGTAGAAAATCGGGCTCCACTGAAGGGGCCCTGGAACACACAAATCAATACACACAAATAAACAGATTCCCCATCTTTTCCTGTATTTTCAGGGTTTTTGTCTTCACCCCCCCACTTCCCATATTTTCCTACATTTTCTGGGGAATCGACGATTCATTGTGTCTGTGTGTTTTTTCCCTCCTGATCCACATCGAGCCACATCGCCGACGATAGGTCGGCAATGCGGCGCGATCCGACCACCCAATTCACCATCTACTCGGACCCCACCTACGAGGCCTAGAGAGAAGAGGGGCCCGGGAACTGTGGGAGACGCAGCAGGAGCTCGACCACGAGCAGCCTTCCACAAGACAACCCAATCCTGAGACCCCAGGACGTCCCTTGACTTTTGGTGTGGGAGCGTCGCGCTTTCCACAGCAGAGAAATGCTCCACATTTTAACCGCATCGCCGACGGTACATCGGCGATGCGGCGCGATCCTACGACCCCATCTGCTCGGACCCCACCTGGAAGGGTTAGTCTTCGGTCGGGCATGCCCTTCTACAGGCGGATTTCGGGCGACAAATGAACAACAATCCAGACATGCACCAAAATAGCCAAACATAGCATACACATCTTCCCCAGACTTCTTTTCTGATATTTTTGAATATCTCCCCTGTAGGGGGACGTGCCCAACTTAAGCCTGTTCTTCCCTGCGCCGCCGCCACCGTCCTCGGGCGAGGGCCGCGCGACCCCCAGGGCGTCCACCGCCGGGTCGAGCGGCACCCCCAGGCCGTTCGGCAGCACGCAGCTCCGCTCGATGCCCTGGAGCACCTGGGCGGACCCCGGACGTCCGATGCTCGCGAAAGGGCCCAGGGAGACGCGAACAAATCGACACAACTTCCCAAATTCTATCCGCCACCGTGCCCCCTGGCACGTTGAGGCGTGCTAGAATGCCAAGTGCTGTCTGGTAGGGTTCTTATAATCTTCTAAGGGCCCCCCCCCTTCCCCGGGCCGCACCCCGTTGCGCGCACCCGCCATACTCCCGGGGTGTCCCCAGGCGGCCATGGCTCCTCCCTGGGGCTCTCCAAGGCTTCCATGCTGGCCCAGGCCCAGGAGGCCCCCAATTCTTTCCCAGAGAGCCCCGAGTCGCCAAACGATCGCTCGAAGACGCCCAAGATGTCCTCGAGATGGCGCAAGAGGCTTCCGAGGCGCCCCAAGAGGCCTCCAAGAGATCTCCCAAAGGCAACAAATCATGGCTTGCCCTTGCGTTTCTAAAGGATTTTGGCGTTCTCGCCTTTTCGCGACGCTGCAAGGCGGCCCATGAGGCCCCCAAGACCACCCCAAAACTGCTCAAGCGGCCTCCAAGAGTGCCCAAAGACGTCCTAATAGTGCCCCAAGACGGATGCCCCCCCAGAGAGGGAACACGAAGCGACAATCCGAACCTTCCGCCCCAAGGGGCCCACAAGAGGTCCCCAACAGGCTCACAAAAGGCCCCATAACGGCCCCCAAGAGGTTTCAAAACTGCTAATAAGAGGCCCCCGACAGGCCTCCCACGGGACTCCAACGAATATTCACTAGCCTTCTGACCGACAGCGCAAGCACGGTGGCGGGACTTCCCGCAAACAGCTGGTTATTCTGCCATATGCCATGGATGTTCATGCTCTCCGCATTTGACATATTTTCTGACATGTTCATAGCAAGCAGCGTTTATGTGTTTGTGTGTATGTTTACCTGCCCTTTGCAAGTTCGTCGACTTCGACACCGCCTGGTTCCGAGGCTTTGCCTCCTCCCGGCCTCGTTCTGAGGCTGCGCCCCCCTTTTCCTCCCCCATCTCTTGTTAAGTCAAGCTTCGCGCGGCCCGCTTAGCTTCGACCGGAAGAGGTGCGCTCTCGACCCGCGAATCAAAGAGTGTATGTTTTCCTCCTCAATCTGCAAACGCAAAACACACATTGCGATGTGTTGCAATTTCTGCCATCCTGGGAAGGGCGTTTTCAGGCCCCGGGACCCTCAAAGAACGATTCGGAGCCCAAACCTATACCTTGGGAAAGGGGTCGGTCGGAACTTCGGGAAGGGGGGGCGATTTGAAAATTGACGACGTCGGATGTGCCGCTTGCTTTGGACAGTGTTCGGTGTTTTTGGAAGTTCTCGGTCGCTCAGGCCTGGCACTCGTCTGCTAGCCTTCTGGGATTGCTTCTGGAAGCCATCCCGCTTCGGCAAAAGCGTTTTGAAGGGGCATTCGAAGCTCCCCGAGGGCTTGGCGACTCTTCTCCACTCGCTTGGTGTGGATGAACCTAGTGCCGCAGGGCGAATCAAATCGATGCAACTCCAGATGGTCCGAAATACACCCGTAAGTGCGCGTCAGAGTGAGGGGGCCGAGCGGTCTGACACCGTCCCTGGGTGCGTGGCTCGAGTGGGATACCGCGGCGCGGATTCTGCTTGAGCTCACACATTTAATTGGGCTCGCGCCCTGTTGCTTATCAGGGGAAAGCTTCCCGCTCAAACGGTGTTGTGAGGCCCCGAATTATACCAACAACGGTTGCCACCGGATGCTTCCTCTGCGTGTATTTCCAAATCGCGCTCTCGCGCGGGAACCCTTCACTATTAACGCAGAAATCGAGCCCTCGCGCGGGACGTCCTCGCAATTTAATCAGGCGCCCTCGACATTCAGGAACCACGCTCTCGCTCTAGCCTGTCTCACGATTTACTTGGGAATCCCACGACGTGTTTTCTGCTCCTGGACCCCCTCCTGCTACTCTCTCTCGTGCTCCATCCTTTTCCGCCCTTCCATCCGTCCTCTCGTCCCTTGCTTGAGGGCCTGACTTCAATGCGCGTGGCAGGCAAAGAACGACGATATACCCCCAGAAGGGTACGATCGAAGACGGAGAAAGCGGGTACCGAGGGTTTGGGACATCCGTGTTGAATGGCACGCGGGCGGATATAATGAACTGCCTCAACACTTGCTGTTGTTGCTGCTGCTGTTGTGAAATTCTTAGTTGTAGAAAATTAGAAAATAAGAAGTATTGACCCCCTCCAATAACCAACATAGTTTTCAATTGAAATACCCCCCTGGGGCTCGCAAGTGGTGTTTTATCAGGGAAGACTTGGTCTCGCTAAACCGGGCCCTTGGCCCCCGAATTACAACAACAACGTCTCCCGCCTGATACGTCCTCATTATGTATTCCAAAATCGCGCTCCCGCGCGGGACTCCTTCACAATGTAAGCAGGATTGTTGCTCTCGCGTGGGGCCCCCGCACAAATTATTCTGACGGCGCGGCCTCGACACTCAGGAATCACGCTCGCGCTTTGGCCACTCTCGCGATTTACCTGGGCATCGCGCTATCTCTCCAGACTTCCTCGCGATTCATGCAGAACTCACGGTTCAGCATCCCGCTTGCTCGACCTGGCCGCTTGGGCTCGCCGTCCCGACCCGCCCAATAGGATATACCCGCGCGATGGGCCCGTCTGGTTCTGCGACATGCATTCTATTCCTAGCCTCCCTTCTGCAAATCCCGTGCTGCATCCATCTCACCCGTCCTCTCTTACCCTGTTTCAGGGGCTGCACCAGCCCAAAGGTTAGATATTGTTGGTCGCCTCTTCCTGTGCTGCCCCTCCATCGGGGCTCGCACCCTGTTCTATCAGGGGAAACTCGGTGTCATGAAACTAGACCACTGGCCCCCGAACTACAATAACAACGGCTCCCGCCTGACTTCCCCACATGTTATTTCAACATCGCGCTCTCGCGTGAGACTTCCTCACGATCGTTCAGACGCCGCGCTTTCGACACTCAGGAACCATGCGGTTCATGCAAGACGCACGCTTCAGCAACCCGCCGTCTCGACCTGGCCGCCTGGGCCCGCCTGCCCGACCCAGCCGTTAGTGTCCACCTGACTGATGGGCCCGTCTGGTTCTGCCACGTGCTTTATACTCCTGGCCCCCCTCCTGCGAATCCCGTGCTCCATCCTGCTCCCTCCCCCTTCCATCCGTCCTCTCTTCTCATGTTTCAGGGGCTGCACCATTTACGCGCGGCAAGTATGGATGATATACCACCACGGGGTATGGTCGAAGATGAAGATGGCGGGTGCCGAGGGTGTGGTATATACGTGCTAGCAGGTACGAGCGATCAATATTAAACTGACGTTTGTTGTTGTGACTGCAACTGTTGCTGTTGCTGTTGTTGTTGAGCTCTCATTGTTGAACAACAATTATTGTTGATCCCCCAATTCGGGTGACCATATGTTTTTCAATTGAAGAGTGCCTCCCCCGTGGCTCGCACCCCGTTTTTTTATCAAGGAAGATCGCTAGGGTCAAACTGCATTGTTGGCCCCCGAACTACAACAACAATAACAACGGCTCCCGCCTGATACTGCCTGACAATGTATTCCAAAATCGCGTTCTCGCGCGGGACTTCCTCACAGTGTATTCAGGAATCGCGCTCTCGCGTGTGACTTTCCCGCAATTTATTCTGACGCCGCGCCCTTGACATTCAGGAGTCCTGCCCTCGCTGTGGATTTTCTCACGATTGATTTGGGAATCGAGCTGTCGCTCGAGACTTCCTCGCGATTCATGCAGGATGCACGCTTGAGCAACCCGCCTGCTCGACCTGGCCGCCTGGGCCCTCCTTTCCGACCCGCTTGGCAGGGTCTACCCACCCGATCTGCCCGTCTGGCTCTGCCGCGTGTTTTCTGCTCCTCGCCCGTGCTCCATCCTCCTCCCTCCCCCTTGTCCTTCCTTTCATCCTTCCTCTCTTCCCCTGCCTCAAGGGCTGCGCGAAATACACGTTGCAGGTAAGAAAGGTATACCCCCAAATGAGGTATGGTCGAGGACGAAGAGGGCGGGTATCGAGTGTTCGGGGTATACATGTTGAATGGCACGCGAGCAGATAAGAGCGAACAATATGAAACAGATTGTTGCTTTTGTCGTCGTCCTCGCCCGCGACCCCCCCCGCGACCCCCCCTCTCACTTCGCGACCCACCCGCGACCCACTCCTCGCCCGCCCCCTCACTCTTACCCGCAGTGGCGGGGTGCTGGAACTCGTGAAGATCCAGCGCGCGCCGAGGGACAGCAGAGTCGGGCCGGGCGAAAGGGGGGCATAGCAAAGGGGGGGTTTGACAATCAACTCACGTGGCTGATTCTCCCGGCGCCTCCCGGCGCCGGGAGGCGCCCATGCATCGAGGAATAGGCCCGGCGGCGGGGCCGAAACCAGCTGCATGCAGCAGATTTCGTACCCCCCCCTTTCCCAATCCCCCATTTCGTTCGGCCAGAGGTACAAATCTGGAGAACTCGTGAAGGTCCACCCTACCCCCCGCGAGTTCTGATGGGGAGGGTGGGGTTCATTTCGCTCGCCGAACGAAGTGAACCCCACCACGAGCGAACGAAGTGAGCCCCGAACGAAGTGAACCCCGCCCTCCCCCTCAGAGATCGTGGGGGCAGGGGTCGGGTTCGCATGTGGTCCCCCAGTCCAGCTCAGGCCCGCAGAGGCCACTGAGATCCTCACGAGCAGCCTTCCGATCTGGGATCTTCTGACCCGGGTCAATCCAGACCCGGGTCAGCAAGAAACCAAACACTGCAATGCAGGAAAACAAAACTGCAACGCAGATCTTCGCAAACCCGGGTCAGCCAATACATGCGCGGCCGCCTCGCGGCCACGAGCGGCTCGCTGACCCGGGTCAGCCAGAGGGGGTCTTCGCAGGATCCTGCAGGATCCGGTGCCCTGGCTGACCCCCGTTTGCCTTGACCCCCGTCTCGAGGCTCCCGATCCGATCGCTGCTCGGAGGCCCCCCGGGCCTCCTCGGAGAGAGAGAGAGAGAGAGAGAGAGAGAGAGAGAGCACGGGGCCCCCGTCGCCCGACCCCTCTTCTGCGACAGCCCGCCGGGCACCGCCGACTGCAGCTTGTCGCGGAGGTCCATCATGTCCTGTGGCATTCCCCGACGTGCTCCCGCCCCCTCTCGGGCGCCCACTCCTCGGGGATGGACAGGGACCCCCTTTCGTCAAACGTGGTCTCGTGAAGACGACCTCGGGCCCAGACCTGGCGGGCGCAGGGCTGGAAACTGACGGCCGCGGTGCCCTCTCGAGAACCGCAAACGGACAATTCACGAATGGACGCGTCAGGGCAGGGTAGGAGGCCTGTCCACCCCCGACCTTCCCCGCGCTCTGTTCGGCCTCTTGCGCAGCTCTGTTCGCCGAGACATGTACACGTCCGAGCGATGCTAGGAGCGTGACCGTGACTCTGTCCAAGCGGGCCTCCGGATCCCCTCCCCGCGGGGCCTGGCCTCTGTTCCAGGTTGCCTTCTGACGGTCCCCGGGCCCTGAAGAAGCTTCAGATCGGGCCAGACTTGACCCCTTCGAAAAAGATCCTATCCTGGAGGACTCCTAGATGGGGTCGCAGCAAATAGGTCCGGAGGATCGAACCGCATCGCCGACGTGGGCGATGCATCGGCGACGTCGACGTGAAGCGAATCGGGCTCCGCATCGAGCCGCATCGCCGATGCATCGGCGATTCGGCGCGATCCTCCAACCCCATCCAATCAGACCCCATCTGGGAGGCCTAGACGCTGTTCTTTTTGTTCTTCGAGTGGCGCCCTCCTGGCACGGCTGGGCTCGCCGATGCATCGGCCCTCCGACCTCATCTACTCCGACCCCATCTAGGAGTTCCGCTTCGGAGAAAATCAAATTCGGCGCGTTAAGATGAAGCCAAGACGAATAAAAAAAATGGGGTGCGGAAAAATAGAGAATCTCTGAGATCCGGCGGCTCTGGAGGATGTCTCGGGCGCCGCGGCCTTGCAAGAGTGTTCCGGAACGCTGTGAAAGCGTTCTGGAACGCTCTGGAACAGACTTATCCTCGTCCTAGCTCCGCCTGATATGCCGCCGGGTCTATGTGCAATCAGCTCTGACCGACGCAGACCACCGGACGTGCGGAGAGCATTGCAAACCACGAGACGTACCAGGTAATCTGATCGGTCAAGAAGCCTGGGTCCCTCTTGGGCTCATTCGGTCGGTTCCCGGGGCCCTCTGCAATCGTCTCGGACCCTTCCGAAGCCCTCTTGGAGACATGTTGAGCCGAAGACCCGAGGCTGCCAACAACCAGCAACAAAAACGAAAGGATATTGATGATGTTCGCCTGTTCAGGCTTCTGTTTGCGGCTCTTGAAGCTCTCGTGGACCCTCTTGTGGCACTCTGGGGGCCTCTCTGGCCACTTTGAAACATCTCCAAGGCCTCTCGAGCTGTCCTGAAGGCCTCTCGGTCCCACATTGGGCCGTCTGGCTGCCCTTTTGCGTTCCTCTTGAGACGTCTTCGGCGCGCCCAGGGGGTTCACACCTTTGGGTGCCTTTCGAACCCGTTTTCGGAGCCTCTCGGGACCTCCTGGGCAATTTTCGACGCTTCGGGGGGCCATCTGAGGCCGTTTTGGACCCCCTCTCCCCCCCTGGGACCACTTCTCCGGACGTGCAAAAAACGTTGGGCGGCGGTGTCCGCCCCCTCAGGAGCCTTCAACAACACAAACATCCCGCAGTGGTGCATACAGGGCAGGTTTTAACACATAGGATTTTAATATATGAGAGAGCGTGATCCACCGCCGCTTTATTGTGGAAAATTGCCGCCCTTTTCCTCCGGAACCCGGGGGTTCCCCCCCCCCCCCCCTCCGAAAATCCCCCCCCCCTGCTGGAACCCCTCCCCCCCTCTCCCAGCAAACCCCACCCCCCCCCTCCCCTAACCCCTCCCCCCCCCCTCCCCCTCGAAAACAGGGGGGGGTCACTACCGGTTCGAACCCCCCCCCCTCGAAAACCGGAGGGGGGGGGTCACTACCGGTTCGAACCCCTCCCCCCCCCCCTCTCACCGCCAGCAAACGACTCCCGGTCCCTACCACCGTCCTCACCACATCCCCCACTGTTGTTCCCAGCACCACTGTCCTCACCACCACTGTCCCCACTGGTTCCACCACCGCCCCTACTGTCCCCACCAGTGCCACCACCACTGTCGCACTGTCCCCACTGTCCCCACCACTGTTCCCACCACGGTTCCACTCTCCCAACTTTCTCCACGGCCCCAACCACTGCCCGACTATCCCCACTGTCCCCACTGTCCCACTGACTCCTCCGCTGTCCCACTGAGCTGTCCCACTGTTCCCACCACTGTCCCCACCACCACTGTCCCCACTGTACCTCTGTCCCATTGTCCCACCGCCGTCCTCGCCACCGCCTTCACCACTGTCCCCACCACCACTGTACCCTCCACTGTCCTACTGTTTCCACCACATTCCCACTGTCCCCACACCACTGTCCCCACCACCACCGTCCCCACCACTGTCCCACTGTCCCCACTGTTCCCACCATTGTCCTCACCATTGTCCCCACCACTACCGTCCCCACCACTGTCCCACTGTCCCCACCACTGTCCCGCTGTCCCCTCACCACTGTCCCCACCACCACCGCCCCCCACTGTCCGCACCCCCCCTCGGTTTTCGAGGGGGGGGGGGGGAGGGGGGGGGTTCGAACCGGTAGTGACCCCCCCCGGTTTTCGAGTTGGAGGGGGGGGGGGGGGTTCGAACCGGTAATGACCCCCCCCTTTTCATGATGAACTGGGGGGGGGGGAGGGGTTCGAACCGGTAGTGCCCCCCCCAGTTTTCCGGAGGGGGGGGGAGGGGTTCGAAGCGGTAGTGACCCCCCCCCGGTTTTCCGCCAGCAGCGGTAGAACACGCTCTTTCTAATATATAGGAATTTGTTACATGATTAGTTTATGAATGAATTAATGCATGAACTCATCCTTGTATGTATTAATCAACCCTTTCTTTTCAGTACGTGGTCCGCACGCGGAGCATGTATGAAAACCGGCGCTGTAGCAGCATTTGGCCTCCCGAGAAGGGGCGGATGGGGGCGGGGGCCTGACGGACCGGGGGAGCCAAAACGGCACCGATACTGCTACTCCACGGGCCGTTCCCCAGGGCCGCGCTCTGACGGGCACTATGCTGCGAGCCCCACGGTGGCGACGAGGGCCTCCCAGGAGGCCCCACACGAGGGGAAGACGAGGCGATGGGCAACGGTATGGGTAGCCCTTCCTCCTCTGGATCCCGCGGCAAGGGGGCGCGACGAGACCCAGACCCCCACGAGGAGGAGGAGGAGGAGGAGGAGGAGGAGGAGGAGGAGGAGGAGGAGGAGGCGGATGAGGAGGAGAAGGAAGAGGCGGAGGAGGATCCAGGAGAGTGCCCAAGAAGGCCCCCTTGCTCTGGACGTCGAGGCTCAGCTCGGGGAGGTTGGCGAAGAAGAGGCGCAGGCCGTCGGCTGGGCGGCCGTGGAGGCTGCGGAGGCCTGCGGGGGGGGCTCGTCGGTGCGCGTCGGTCGTCCTGGGACGTCGGGCGCACCTCGTCTTCCCTGACGTTTGGCGGCGCGCAGAGGGGGGGCGGTGGGGGGACTATTCCTGGGCTACTCCCATCTGCGATAGGGGGCCTTTCTTGAAAGGGGCCCCAACGGGGGTGCACAACTCTTTTAATCCTCAGCGCCGAGGTTGTTACAAGGGTGTTGAAACATTCTCGCTTGGGCGCTCCATCCCAGCGGCACTGGGGATGGGGGGAGGGGGGAAGGCTTCTTAGAAGGAGGCTGCGTCCTAGAAGGCGCGGGCCTCATACCTATAAACAAAGCCCGCGCCTTTTGAGAAGCAGGGGTGCTTCTCTAAGAAGTCGTTCCCCCCTCCCCCCACCCCCCCTCTACGCGTGGCCGATACGTGTTCCACAGCGGACCCCTTGTTACACATGAGTTCTGGGCCGTCGTCGGCGACCCTCGGACAGTCTTCGGCGGTCTTCTGACGGTTTTCGGAGTCTTTGGCGTGGGCTCGATGGCTGCGTTCAAGAAGGGGTCCGTGATCGAGCACCTGACCTCCTGACGCCTCCCGCGCAACAAGGCTCCCGAATTACGAACGTGTCCATATCCACGCCCTCGCGGTCTGGATTCCCGGGCGCGATCCCGTGGACACGCGGTCGCAAAGGCACGGTACGTTCCGCGATGGGACAACCGCGAAAAATCTGTCCGTCTCCGCCAGGTCGCGGCCCAGGGGCCCCGGCCGCGAGGCCGTGGGTAGGGATGTGTCTGTCGCCCACGAAGGGCTCTCGTTTTGAGCAGCACAGCAGTGCTGCTCCCGTCCTCCTCCTCCTCCTCACGCCACCGCCATGCCTCCTTCCTCGACTGTCTGAGCATTCTTTCCGGTAGCGGTCATTACCCGAGGGGGGTGCCGCTGGTAACGGTAACGCTCGGGCGGGGTGGGAGGCAAGGAGTGCTCCCCCTCCCCACGTACGAGTCGGGCATGTCCTCTTACTGGCAAAGCTTGGAAGATAAATTGAAAGCAGGTCAAACAATATACACCATCATAGAACACATCGTCCGCGGACTATGTTTTGACTACTCTTGAATGTTCTGCCTGCAGGAGGACACGACCGACTTCCCGTTACCGTTGCCCGAGGGGGGAGGGGTCGGCCCCGGTAGCGACCGATACGCGCCAGACGGGAAAGCAATCTCCTGCTCCTCCCTGCCTGCTGCCCTCCTCGTCGCGTCTGCCTCGTGCCGTGCGTCCTGCCTCGTGCCCTGGCTCCCGCCTCGACTCCCTGGGCGCCGCCCGCTGCGCAGCGTCTGCCAACTTCGTGAGTCCTTGGGAGGTCCTGCGGCGTGGTGTCCTGCCAGGCTCCAAATGAGATCTCGCCTTCCTGGGTGCCGCCAGTGGAACATTCACGCTCGGCCCTTCCGGGTGAGACCTCGCATCCCCGGGCGCAACTTTCGACACGTCCATGAGCCCTTGGGAGGTGCAGCGGAGTGGTTTCCTGCGCGGATCCAGGTGGGACCTCGGGGGGCGGGACGGGACCCGGGACCCAGACCCCCACGAGAAGGAGGAGGAGGAGGAGGAAGAGGAGGCGGATGAGGAGGAGGAGGAAGAGGAGGATGGGGGAGGAGCATGAGGAGGTCAAGCAAACTGGTCCTACGCAGACCGAGATTTCGCGTGTCCAGGCGCTGTTAACCACGCCGCCGCTCTCGTGAACCCCTGCATGGTCCAGCGGCTCAGTATCCTACGCAGACCCAGGTGAGACCTTGACTCCCTGGGCGCTGGTTGGAGATTTTGCGACGGGATTGTCCTTCGGACCTGAAGATCCGTACACCTTTCACGAGGAAGAGGGGATAATGAGGCGGTGCACCATAAACATGACTCGAAACATGTTCTTTGATTAGTTGCCAGCGGTTGTCCTTCCGACCTGCCGAAACACCATCTAGGTGGCGCGTACACATTTGCTTGGTGTGGGCCCTGCGATTTAGAGGTTGTCCTTCGGCCCCGCAGGGACACCATCCGATTGTCAGGGTCTGTTAATCGACAGTTTTTTCTTGCTTGTTGTTTTGTTTTGTGATTTTGGCCCAGCGGGGCGGGAAAAACACGCGCCGATGTCCAACCAGGCTCTCCTCGACACATGGTGGAGCGCAGGAAGACTCTCTGCGAGCCCTCCTGCCTGCAGACTGCTGTAGCACCGACGCCGCGACTTTCACTTTTGTAGCTCTGTAGTGCGGCGCGGGTTCTTACCTTGCTCTGTGAAGTCGGGCGGGTGGTACAGTCAAAAACCCTAATAAGGACGCGCGGTAAGGACGCACGACCCTTGGAAGCCGAAGTTGGGATTCCTGGGGCGGCGGACGACGAAGACCCCAAGGACGCAGGGGTACCCTGACTCACCTCCGTCCTTACCAGGTAAGCGTTGGTGCCTAGAGGAGCAGCGTCGCAAGGACGCAGGGGTACCCTGTGAACATCTGCGCGTCCTTCTGGCCAGGGCGACAAAATCAAACGGCGCGCAAGGCCAATTGGGGGGCGACCCAAATGGGGGGTGAAGAAAAAGGTCCAGCAGGGGCCCTTTAGGGCCCCACGTGGGCACCCACTGGTTCCCAAGAGGGGCCCCAAAGGGCCCCTTTTGGGCCACCTCTCTTCACCCCCCATGTGGGTCGCCCTCCGCTCCCGCCGCCAGGGGTACAGTCAACTCGTTGGGTAAGGATGCGCGATAAGGATGCAAGGGCCCTGGGCGCCCATTTCGAAGCTGTTCGAGCGGGGCGCGGCCAGCGAACGCGGCGAGGGATGGACCGAGGAGGCACGGATGCAAGGGGCACCCTTGGGAAGGTTGCCCATCCTTCCTATGCGGGTGGGCTGTGAGGTAACCGGCTGGTATTCCAGGCTTTCGCCCCGTTGGAGCCCGTGCCGCCTCGTGGACGCCTCGTGGGTGCCCCCCCCCCGCGCCTCGGTGTTGTGCCGAGGTGGCGCCACGCTGCCGCCCCCGCCGCCTCGTGGGCGCCCCGTTCGTTGGGGGGGGGGGGGGCACGCTGAGGTCGCGCCACGCTGCCGCCCGTGCCGTCTCGTGGGCTCCTCGTGGGCGCCCCCTGTGCTTCGAGCTCGTACGGCGCGGCTTTCACCACACAGCGTACACCGCAGAGCTGGAGCTTGCATCACGCAGCTTCCGCCCCACAGCTTTCACCTCCAGCCCCCACCGTTCAGCTTACACGCCATAGCTTAAGCTCACATCGCACGGCTTACACCCCTGAGTCCCCCTCAACGTCACATAGCCTTGTTCATACGATATGGCTTGCGCCACCTAGCTTGCACCGCCCAGCTTTCTTCAGCTCATCAGCTCACACCACACAGCTTACACTGCACGCCTTCACCTCCGCAATGCAATCACGCACTCTTTGGGGTCCACACTGGCTAACAGGTCTTCGATGCTTTTAGTATGCATGTGTTTGAAAGGCGCCCCGATCACGGATGTTCAAAAATCCACCTGCCGTCTGGGCGCAGGCGGTATGACGAGTTTGCTCTTCCCTCTTCCAAGACTCCTTTTCCCCCTTCTCGGGGAGGGGTTTACTCCTCCAGTCCCCCCTCCCCGGGGCCTGGATGGGGGGGCGATGTGTCAGAGGGTCCTTTTTGGCGAGTCCGAGTATGAGGAACCTACCGGCTGAGTATGAGTGACAGAGTGTGGGCAGGGTGTGACTAGGCTGAGCATGAGTACATCTAAGTGCGAACTGTTTGAGTGTGAGGGAGTTTGACTAAGAGAGGATATGAGTATGAGTGAGTCTGGCTATGAGTCTGGCTATGAGTAAATCTGGACATGGCGAGGGAGGCGGGTGAGTGCGGAGTCGTCCCGCCAATACAACCACAGCTCAGGACGTGGGAACGCTGGAGCCCGTCGAACATCTGAGGTCGCCGTCGTCGTCCTCGTCGCCGCAGCCGCCGCCGCCGTGCCGCCGTTCGAGGGAGGGGCGATGACGAGGACGATGGTGCTGATGGCCGCTGCTCCGGCAGCCACGGCGCTGAGATAAGGGCCACCCTGGGCTCGGGAGGGGTCCTCGGGCCGTTCCTCGGACTCGGGTCGGCTCACCCGTTCGCGGCTGAGGCTCGCCGCGGCCGGGAACGCCCATCCGCTCCTCTGTCTGTCTGCCTTCCTTCTGTTAGCACGCTGTCGGTATTTGGACGCCCGAGATGGGCACGGAAAGAATGGGTGCAATGCCCAGCAACAGATGTTGTCCCAAAACCAACAGCGGCCGCTGTTGGGCAGGCGGCCTTCTGTCTCGAATGGACACAGGCCGCGGCGGCGCGGACAGCGAGTCCTGTTCAACAAAAATGAGCAGGATTTGCTGTTGGGCGTTGTACCCATTCTTTCAGTACCCGTTTCGTTCGTGCAGACTGTAAGTAGCATCATCGCCATCAACATCATCGGCATCAACATGCTACCACCATCGTCACCACCGAGACGGGGAGCAGGGGGCGTGAAGATGGGGAGGCCGACGTCCACTGGGCATTTTCGGGACCCTTCGGACCTCCGGGGGCCGCACGGCGGCCTGCCACCCTCCGTGATTCTTCCCGGAACCTCCAGATCCGAGTGAAACGTTAATTACCGAAGATTTCCAGTGGCGCTCTGGACGAACAAATCGCGACCGCAGTTCGCCCTCTGATCGCGAACTCTGGTAACGAGAGAACCGTCGACGTCTTCGAAACCGTAGCTCGGACGCCGGCGCGCCGCCTCTCCGTTACCGAAATTCGACCCCCGCCGATCGCGACCGGAATTCGGCGAGACCGAAATCCGTCACCGAACATTTTCGGTCGCGAATGATCTGGGGAGGTGGAAGACGACGTCGCTCGTCGTCGTTGCTCGTTGTTGTCGTCGTCGTCGTCGTCGTCGTCGTCGTCGTCGTGGTCGTCGTCGAAGTTGCTCGTCGCTGCTGTCGTCGTCGTCGTCGTCGTCGTCGTCGTCGTCGTCGTCATCGTCGTCGTCGTCGTCGTCGTCGACGAGGGGGGCGGGGGAAAGTCCACCCGGATGCCTCCAGGGCCCTCTGGAAGGCAGGGCACGACGTCGGTGGGCGACGTGGGGCGTCGGGCGTCAACGTCGACGACGTCAACGTCGTCTTCGTCGTCGTCGTCGTCGTCGTCGTCGTCCAAGTGCCGCGACAAAATGACACAGCGAATGTTTTTCAGTTTCGGCCTCCGTGGGCCGTTCCAAACCCCCGACCCTGGGCCAAGAAGATACGACCCGCGGTGGGAAACCTGCCCCAGGGATGGGGCTTAAAGAAGTGAGCGAAAGCTAGAGAGAGGTCGGGCATGTCCTCCTACAGGCGGATTTTCCAAGACAAACTTATGATGGCCAAAAATACTCGCACATAGTTTTTCCCAACCATCCTCCTCGACTTGAAGAGACAGCGCCCCGCGTCTCCTCTCCTCTCCTCTCCTCTCCTCTCCTCTCCTCTCCTCTCCTCTCCTCTCCTCTTCTCTCTTCTCCTCTCCTCCCCTCCCCTCCCCTCCCCTCCCTCTCCTCCCTTCCCCCCCTCCCTCCTCCTCCTCCTCCTCCTCCTCCTCCTCCTCCTCCTCCTCCTCCTCCTCCTCGTGGGGCTTTGGGTCCCGCTCCGCCCCCGCATATCCCACCTGGATCCGCGCAGGAAACCGCTCCACTGCACCTCCCCAGGGCTCACGGACGTGGCTCCTCCCCTCCCCTCCCTCCCCTCCTCGTCCTGCCTCCACTTCCTCCTCCTCCTCCTCCTCCTCTCCTCCTCCTCCTCCTCTCTCTCCTCCCTCCTCCGTCCTCCGTCCTCCCTCCGTCCCCCTCCTCCTCCCTCCTCCCTCCTCCCTCCTCCCTCCTCGTCCTCGTCCTCCTCCCTCTCACGGTTCGTAGCCCCATCGGGAACTCCACCGAATGCCCCAGTAGCAGGGTCCACATGGCGCCGCCGCCCCATTTTGGCGCATCCCTCGCATGGTTCGTGGCCCCACAGGAAGCTCCGCCGAAGGCCGCAGTGGCAAGCGACAGCCCCATTGGCACGGTCCACATGGCGGCGCCGCCTCATTTTGGCGCACCCCTCACACGGCTCGTGGTACCATATGGAACTCCACCGAAAGCCCTGGTGGGAGGGTCCACACGACGGCGTCGCCTCATTTGGGCGCACCCCTCAAACGGTTCGTGGCCCCATAGGGAGCTCCACCGAAGGCCCCACTAGCAGAGGCCACATGGCGGCGCCGCCCCATGTTGGCGCACTTTTCACACAGTTCGAGGCCCCATTGGGAGCTCCACCGAATGCCGCCGCCCATTGTGGCGCACCCCTCACTCGGCTCGTGGCCCCATATGGGACTCCACCGACAACCCCAGTAGCAAGTTCCACAGCGCGTCGCCGCCCTATTTTGGTGCACCCCTCACACGGTTCGTGGCCCCATAGGGAGCTCCACAAAAAATTGTGCCACAACACGGTATTCATAACGGCTTATAGTTGGTTCCGTCGCCAAGATATGTGTGAATTTTAATTTCAAAGATACAACGAAAAAGTCCCCCGATACGTTTTCTTTAGTTTGAGAATTCCTCCTGTGGAGGAACACGCCCGACTGAAAACTACAGGTTGGGATCAAGAAGGGAGGCCTACGAACTCCACGATGATGTCGCCAGACAGGCTCAGGCCCGTGATCGCGGCCCTGTGCGTGCCGAGAACCAGCCAGATGGCGCAGTCGCCCTCCCAGTTGGCGCGCGCCTCTGCAACAGTCAGGAGGGCAGGGGGGCGGGGGGCAGAGTAGAGCAGGGCGCGCCCTCCAAGGCCGCGCCCCGCCGAGCGGGAGGGGGAGGAGGAGGAAGAGGAGGAGGAGGAGCAGGAAGAGGAGGAGCAGACCAAGACCAGCTCATGGAGTCCCTGCAATCCTTTGCTACTGCGAAACGCTTGCCTGCACCAAGATACCACCGAAATAGGGCATTCGATCTTGAATACCGAACTGGCGTTACGGTGCGATTGCCTCAGGAATCGTCTGCGTTCAACTCCAACGAAACTGTGCAGCGACTGCCGCACACTGCACAGAGCAGCACTGGCCGATCGGGACCCCTCGGAGGCACGCAACCCCATACAGGGTCCGGTACAACAGCATGAGAGATCACACATCCCGCCCCCCCCTACGACCAAGCCCAGGACAACGGGCCCTCCCGCCCCGCCCCTCGGCCTCTGCCTCGGCTGCGCCGTAGCTCAAAAGCAGGAACTTGGGGCATGAATGCGCTGGCCTGCCCCAGCGGGTGCCTCACTACACTACTCAAGCACATCTGGTGGTGCGATACCCCGCTCGCCCAGGGCTGCTAATCTCGCCCTGCTCCGCAATTGCTGTCTGCTGCAGCTGCTCAGGGCGCCTCCTCTACTGACCTCTACAAGTCCCGCTGCAGCGGGCCCCTCGGCGCGGCCCCAAGAGCCGAACCCCGCCCTTCCGACTTGATCAGCTAGAATGCGCGCCGCCTTCTGGGTCTCGCCCTCCTATTTCTGCGTGCGCACGAGCGGCTCCTGCCGGAGCTCTCTGACAATCGAATGGCCTTTTCCCTTCTTGCGGGCCCCGTTTGCAATGCGAGAAAACGATCGGATTTACCGCGTCTGCTGTCGCGGCCGGTAGATTTCCCGCTAGACAGCTGGGAGCCTTGCTGCGGCCCTGGCCATGCAACGTGGACGCCTGACCTCGCTATGCGCGCGAAGGGTTTCTCCTTGGGTGCAGTTACCCTCCCGGTAGAAGGTGCGTGCTTTCTTATGAGGTTCCGCGCAGCCAGGTGTGTTGTATTCGCCATGCTGGCACGCGCGTGGCGCTACTTATTCGGCTTGCACTCGCGCCGCGATGCCACGCCGCAAACTAATGCTTTCCACCTGTCGTGGCGGGGGGCGGCCCCAGGGGCATCATTGCCATGGGCTAAGCAGCTTCGTCGGTGAACCCAGCCACCACAAAAGTCCTTACTTGCAGCAATGGTGCTTTCCCTTCTGTTCCGTTGCCCATCCCGATTTTACAAGTAGAAGGCTTCTGTCGTTCAGTATACTTCTGGCATCCATCGAACAACCGTTGGTATGTCTGTTTTAGGTCATCCAGCTTCGTCGCATGGCGCGTGTCCACGTCGGCCCACATATCTCGATGGTGTTCAACTTGCGAAGGAAGCAGAGCTTCCAGGATACTACCTGAAGTGGCCGATTTTATCCCGAATCTAGGGCAATCCGATTCTTCGAGATGGAACCATCGGATTCAACAGGCCGGTGCCGACCCATAGTCATGAACAGTCTCTGCCGCTCCTGAACGAGGCAAATCTCGGGCGCTGGCGTTTTCCTCGCCAGCGTTCACCCGCTGTTTGATGTCAGCGCTCCGAATGGTTTCGCTGGGGGCTGGCGCAGACTACCATAAGCGGCTCCACTGCCCGACCCTGCTGCGACGCCATCTGGAAGCCGCTTCGGGCCTTCCGGATGCCGAGCTTAACGTCGCGTGGTCGCACTGCTTCCGTCTTCCGATTTAGGGGGCGGGGGGCGCATGCCTAAACTTGAGGCGATCTGCCTCATTGTATTTCTAATCTTTTGTCGTTGGTATCTTAACGACGTCCTCTGCAACAGACTGACTTTCGTCCGATGAATCCACGCCGGTACCTACTCTTTCGATTCCGGGCGGTGGTGGAGCATCTGGTGCACTGCGCCAGGCCTCTGGCGACTTCTGCCCACAGCTCTTGCGTGGCGGGTCTGTCGCGCCCTGGCCAGTTTGGCGCCTTCTGTGGTTTGCCGCGTTGCAGTGGTGGTTTCCGTTCAGGATGCGGCAGCGGCGATAGTGGAAAGCTCAGTTCTTCCCCGCCTCGAAACGCCGCAGCTTTGCAAGCGTCGGGTTTTCCCGCCGCAATTGCGCGTGGTCTCCCTGGCACAGCGACGTCAGGCTTCCCGGGCGCAGCGGCGTCAGTTTTCCCAGACGCAATCTAAGGTAATGCCTCGCAATTAGTATGTGCATGTCGCCATCGGCTCACCAATCGGAAAATTGCCTGACCGCTGGGAAAAAATAAGCTTCTTTGTTGCCCAAGGGGTCCGCTCCGCTGGGCTTGTGTGCCGCGTAGCTGGGGATGGCTGTTGGGCCATCGCCGCCAGTTGCACGGTGTCTCCCTGATGGTGCTCGTTCACTGTTCTCGCGAAGTCTTCCACCGTGATTGTTGCGAGATTGATCTCGGCAACGGCCTCGTGGAGGATTCTACGCAGTCGCAAAGGGGAGGTCACTGGTGTTGCGGACCTGGCCTTTCAGGTTGGCACTGACCCTTTCACCCCCGTCAGACCTGCCAGATAGAGTCTCTTGCATTGATGTGACATCGCAGTTGGTGGAGCACTGGCCGCCAGTGCTTCCCAGTCTTTCTAGGAGGAAGGCGAGGGACTCGATCGTCTCCGAGATGCTGCGCATGATTTCGCACGCTTCGCGTCGAACCTGAGACCGCGCTCTAGCAGCGTGGTCAAATTGCTGAGTCAACTCGCGGCTGCAACTCTTTGGCATGATCCGCCTAATCTGGAATGCATCATGTCTCTGTGTTGCCTGTTTTTCAGCACCGATGCGCTCTTGAAAATCGTTGGCACCCCGCTCACTTGCTCGCTGATCACCCCGGCGCGACCGCGCGGTGGCGGCGGCCAGATTGCCGGATTCTTCGCGAGCCCGAGGGCCGTCGATCTGAACAATGTGCGTTGGAGACGGGCTTGCGAACCCCGTAAAAGTCGCTCGCGATGCATTGAAATTCGCCTCTGGCTTTTTGTTCAGAAGTTCTACTTTGCTCCGGCAAGGCCAGTTGCGGCATTCCAGCCATCTGCTGGTTTAGGTTTAGTGTCTGGAGCACGTCGGCCGTTGACGCCGATCCTGATTTCTCTGCGGCGGCTGCTCTGGGCGACCACCCTCGCGGCCCCGCCCGCTGACTAGACAGCTGCCGCGCGACCCGTCGCGACGGTGCTGGTTGTGCCTGGTCGAATAGGAAAAACGCCCTGGTGCCCCATGTTGCCTTCGCAGCGGAAACTCCGTAACTTTGCTTAGCGACAGCTGGGCGCGGGGCAAACCTTGTCTTCTCTGATCCCACGCGGAATCTTGCCGCGCCCGCGCCAAGTCCCCCCGCCGCAAAGGCGTCGGGTCTTCCCGCCGCAATCGCGTCAAGTTCCCTCGCCGCAAGCGCCCTGTCGCGGGGGCGCGGCGGGATGCGTTGACCAGTGCCGGAGCCGCGGTCCACTTGCGCGACTTGTCCGCGCCGGATTGAGAAATTTCGCAACCGCTGGTCTCGACGTCTCCGAAACGACAAGGCTCGTCGGAGATGGTGGCATCGCAGGGTGTGTTTCTGGCCCACCTGCGCTTGCCATCTTATATGAGGCGCCTCGCGCTGGTTGCAGCGCTTGCGCTGTTTCGGCCGATAACCTGGATTTGCGGATAGAATGGTCGTGGAGCCACGAAACCCCGAAGTGACAGTGTGCAGGGCCGCGGGTCGCAAGCGAAGGCGGACGAGTTTGTTTACGAATAAAAGCGCTTGTACATGAGGAGCTATCGCGACTGCAATGAGTTGTAAAGGCGGCGACGAAACGAGGGGTCGCGCGGAGCCGCGAGCGCCTGTATGCCCGCGCCGCTCGACGGCAATAGTGCGGCGGCGGCGATCTTCAAACTTAAAACCGAATCTTCTTCCCGATCCTCGCAAGGGCGGGAGAGGGAAAGCAAGGGGAGGAGCGGGGGGGGCCTAAGGGGCAGCCGAGTCCGCGACCCAGCAGGGTTACCGCTCAAAAAAACGCGCGCCAAAGTCGAAACGCGAGACGCATTTCTTTTTTCCCCCCCATAACTGCCCCTACGCTAAGAGCGGGCATCATAATTGCCCCCCGTTGCGGGGCACCCCTGCTACAGCCCGCGTCGAACTGGATATCGGATAGGGACCTTGCAGGAAAGTTCCGCCCGGTGCTCTGCGTGACTTGGCATGTCGTAGTTACTGGAGCGATGGCGACATGCAGTCGACAACTTACAATGGAAGGGAAAGATTCTGAACCCTGGCAGACCCCCCTTTCGAAGGGCCCCCTGGACCTGCGCCCGTGACCCTGCCCCCTGCAATTTCCGGAGCTCCCTGTGAGATCCCTCATCCTCTGCCCCCTCTTCTTAAAGTAATTCAGCGCGGATGTCCCAATATGCTGGCACTTTTGTCCGTGAGTGTCTGGCTGAGATCGCCCGTGGCAAATGGGTGATGCCTGGTCGCTCCCTTTTGGAGCGCCCAAGTGCGATGCTTGCTACATCGGGTAGGTATTGGGGCTCTGAATGGAGGGGTGTCGGGGGGGCCCAAACCATGACTCCCCGTGAAAGGTCCCGCAACCTGGGCGCGAACTGGCACAAGTAAAACCCCCTGGCGGCTCTTTCTTGATGTGCACACGTGTGACGCCCTCTACATCGCGGTGACCATGGGGCTCTGCACGGAGAAGAATCGGGGGCACCAAAACGAATCAACGTCACGAGGCGTCCCTACGGTCTAGGTACGGAGGCAAGTGCAACACCCCTTGTCGGTTCCTCCTTGAACTGCACATACGATACAACATGCAACAGCATACGTAGTTCCTTCACTCACTCCCAAAACTACCTTTAGGTCTCTCTCCCCATTCACCCAGTCACCCACTGGTACCCCTGGGTGAATGTGTGACTGGGGGAAAACAAGGGGGATACATATATATTCTATATAGATACATGTCTATTTATACACGGATAACTGCCAACTATCTCTCTTAGTACGACGGATCTGCCTGATCCTGTCTTGCGTTATACTAGCTCTTCAACCCTTGGAATTGCGTTATCTTGTCTTGCGTCATGTGAGCCAAGTTCTGTATCAGTACCCTTGAAATTCCTCATGCGATCACCTTGTGTATTATGTTCTAACATCTATGTCTCAATCGTTGTTTCTTCCCACTCCAAATTGAAGTCCACGGATACCCCGAATCAATCTCATTCATACTGACTTGCCGCATGCTCACCGCGATGTAGCAGGCGTGGCATTTGAGAACCCACTGACGAGCCGTCAGGGGGAGGACAGTTGCCCGTTCGCGCCCAGATTGCGGGAATGCTTCAGGCGGCTTGCTCGCTTGGTGACCCAAGTCCGCCTTTTGAAGGCCCGATGACTATCGCGACAGAGCGCGCGTGGCACTTTGGCGGAAGAGCCACAAAAGGTTGGGACATGTTGCCCGTTCGCGCCCACAATTACGCGTATGACACGATAGCACGAATTTGAAATACGTACAGAACGGAAGAACGAGCCATGCGAGATCCGCGAAACGCAGCTGAAATAAGTGCAACACGGAAATACGAATTCGGGAAAGGTACGAACGCACATCCAAAAAGCAAACAACGATTGACAAGGTATTCATCAAGTGTGAACACATTTGACAAAACCGGTACGAAGTGTAAAAACATGTGGCACAAGTATATCTCATACACTTTCCTCACATGCCGGATTTCTGAACTTCTGTACTTTGTACTTCGGCAAAGCACATCTATCGTACTCGTACTTCGGCATGGTACTTGGTCTATTGCAATTGGGATACTCCGTTCTTGACCAGCATGTTATGATGTTAGGCTCCCGTCCCTTGCTTATGGTTCGTCAGTGTGCTACCATCCGTATCCTTCAGCCATTGGACCCCCTACTGGCACAAAGTTTCCCACTACTGAGGGACAGCCAAAGGTAGGCATCAACATGCTCGTGCGGAGGACCGCGGCGCTGGACACCCCCATCCCCGGCACGTGCAGCGCACGTCAAGGGAGCCGCCAGCGGCGCCGCCAGAGGGGGCCAGCGCCGACCAGAGAGCTCTGCGTGTACATCCGAGCGTTCAGGTCTGTGCAACCTGCTCCTCCAGTCCTGCCACTAGAGGCCTCCTCGAGGGGGTCCGACTAGATGGGTCGAAGGATCGCGCCGCATCGCCAATGCATCGCCGATGTATCGGCGATGCTCCGGCGATGCATCGGCGATGTCGACTATGCATCGGGCATCGGCGACGTCGGCGTGGGGAAACACGGTCTCCACAGCCGCATCGTCGATGCATCGACGATGCGGCGCGAGCCTCCGACCCCGTCTACTCGGGCCCCATCTAGGAGGCCTAGAGCCGTTCCGAAGGCCGATTCCGCGCCTTCACCACCAGCGTCTGTGACGACGGAGGGTCGCCAGGCCTCGCGTCCGGGGGCGAGGGCAGGATCAGTCAGCATCGCATCGGGAAGTCGGATCGACTCAGGCAATGCGTCGGATCGGGCTGCCTTGGCACGACGTCAAAATCGACTCGGAACGGCCGCGCCACGACGCACGTCGGGAGCGGCCAAGAGGGGGGTGTCCAAGAGGAGGGGGTGCAAATCATGACCGGCGGCATGTGCGCGGCCCAGCGGGGGGGCCAGGGACGTAATGAAATAAGAAGAGGCGCCATGAAATCTGGGGAAACATCATGACCCCCGCCATGATATCCACCCCCCCCTCGTCATCACCCCCCTCTTGGCCGCCCCCGAGCACAGCAGCGCGCGTGCAGGTACCGGGCCGCACCAGCTCGCCCGACGATCGAACTCCTGCCGTCGCTCGGACGCCCGTTCCCCGTGCCTGCCTTCGGCTTCGTGCGCTCCCGTCCCGCAAGGTTATCCAAGATGCTCCTCGATCCGACCAGCCATAACTGGAGAGCTGTAGTCCTTACCCCCCTGGGGGAACCCATCGCATCGACGATCTCTCGAGATGGGTGTCAAAATCGATGGGCCCCCCAGGGGGGTAAGGAACACAGCTCCCCCAGCTGTGGCTGGCCTGTCGATGGTCCTCACGTCCGAGCCCATGCCCATCGATCGGAGGGGGGAGGAGGAGGAAGGGGAGGAGGAGGGCGAAGTGGTCCAGGGAGGAGGGAGGAGGAGGGAGGACAGTTGCAGCCATCGGTGTTCTTTGCTCTCTCGGAGGGGGCTTTGCCTGATGTGGAGAAGGTGAAGGCCCCAGAGCGGCTGAAATCTTCTATGATCCAACTGGTTTCCAATCCCAATGGTCACGATGTCCGTCGGTATGGGAAGATCAACGATCGATTCTGCTGTGCCATCTACGGGCATGAGAACTCCTCTCGGACTGGTCTGTGCATGGTGCCGTGCAGCGGAGTTCCCAGGCTCGCCAGGCTGGCCCGCAGCTCTCACAATTAGGCTGTGGACTGGCGTAGGAGGCATCGCGCGGTGCAGACGGTGCGGGGCCTTCGGCACCTCGCGCTCTCTGTCCCTCCAAGGTGGACGCCATACGGGGCCCAGGAATAGCGGTGCCGGCCGGTCTCCGGCACCTTTGGAGGCAGAGGGCGGACCCCTCCTCCAGGCAATCGCTTGGGAGGAGTTGGCCGGCCCCGCCGAGGCTGCCCTGGCTTGGTCTGCTTGCCCTTCCAGGCGGGCTGCCCCTCTGTCCGCCCCCCTTCGCCTCCCTGTGCTCTCTCTCTCTCTCTCTCCATTGAGCAGTGCGGCCCTCGGGAGCGCTGGACTGCTGCGCTACCGGACCAGAGGACCTTCGAAGGAGGAGGAAGAAGAAGAGGCAGAAGAAGAAAAAGACGAAGAAGAAGAAGAAGACGGTGCTGGGGCGAGGTCCACCCACCGCTGGCAGCTCCGACCGCGGGGCAGTCCACGCCCGGGAGGCCGCCTGCAACCCCTCTACGGGTGGGGAACCGAGAGGGAGCTGGAGGCAGAGGAGAAGAAGGAGGAGGAGGAAGCAAGAGGAGGGGGAGGATGATGAGGAGGAGGACGAACAGGAGGAGGAGGAGGAGGAGGAGGAGGAAGAAGAAGCAGCAGAGGATGACACAAAGGGCCCCCCCGGGCGGACGGGAGCCGCTCGGGGCGCAGGAACGCCCAGCATCCCACGACGGGTGCCGCCACGCGCCGCCCGCTGGAGGGCGCGCGCACGCCCGCGTCGCGGTCGCGTCGGGCGCTGGCCTCTGACGCCGCGCGGACCGCGCGGCCTCGGCCACGGGCCTCGGGCTTCGGCAAGCCCGCGTCGCGTTCGCGTCGGGCGTCGACGTCGCGGTCGCGTCGGGCGTCGACGTCGCGGTTGCGTCGGGCGTGGTGCAGATGCGCCGACCCCCGCCGCCGCCGTCTGCCCGCTACCCGAGGGGCCCAGCTGGGCGTCGACCCGGTCGACGCCCTGGGACCCCGTGACTTGTCAGGAGAGGGCTGGCCATCTCTGGCGAGCAGCTCGCCTCGGCAAGTCAGGGCAGAACATCGGCGGCGAGCCCAGGGTGGAGGCGAGAAGGGACGGGCAATCTCAGAAGGCTTGCAGGTCCCCTGGCCTTCCGGGCAGCGTTGTACGCCGCCCCCGAAAACACAGAAAGAACTTCTCAGCGGCGGGCTTCCGCGAAGCCCCGCCGGCTTCTGCGAAGGCCGTCTCCTTCTCACTTCCCCCCCCTCGCTCGCCGCCGAGAAGGGAGGACGTCAGCTTTAGGTCGGGCCTGTCCCCCTACAGGGGGATTTTGGGCAGAAGAAAAATAGTCCAAAAATATCCCGACATTATCAACAAATGCTGAAAATCGTCCCCAGATTGGACTATTTTGGAATTACCTCCTGTAGAGGGACAGGCCCGACTTCACGTCAGCTGCACACCTGCGCCGATTCTGGCCAGGCTCGTCCTAGGCCCAGGATCGATGCCTGCGCCCCCCAGGCTCGGGCAGCAAGGCATGTGCACCGATCCCGGGCCCAGGACGAGCCTGGCTGGAGCCAGCGCTGGTGTATACACCGATCCGGGGCCCAGGATGAGGTCGGGCATGTCCTCCTCCATTTTTGGACGAGACATGAAACATACCCCCGAAATGCTCAGAAATAGTTAAACATCGTCCTTTTGAACAACATACCCCCCAAAATATCCAAAAACAATTATAAACACATTGCCAAAGATACTCAACAATAGTTCGAAGCAGCACGTACCCCCAAAATATCGTCCACATACTATTTTTGTGGCTATGTTTGAGTCTTCCTCCTGGAGAGGGACATGCCCGACGCAGGCCCGGGATCGACCTGGCCAGTACCGGCGCTGGTGCATGAGCGGCCGGTGCTCTCCGCAAGAGGGAGGCCACTGCCTCCGAGAGCCCAGCGGCGGGGGCCACCCCCAGGGCGTTGGCGCGCCCGGGCTAGAAGAACAAAAGCACAAACAGCGATGTGTATAAGCATACCTGGAAGCATTCCACTTAAGATTCAGGTGAGAATCCAGTTGTAGAATTCTGCTGTTCTCGCAGTCGCAGTCGCATTCGCAATGACAGTCGCAGTGGCAACGGCCTTGGAATCCAATGGGAGTTGACACGCCCGAGCTTGAAGAACAGAAACACACAAGCACATAAACTTTTGGCGCTGCGCGCGGATCTCTTGGATCCGCGCTGGCCCCCCCTCCCTGGCGCGCGGAGCGCGCCAGAGGCGGCGCCGGAGGCGCCGCCGGGAGGCCCAGGCGCGGATCCAAGAAAGCCGCGCGGAGCGCCAAAGTTTATGTTTATGTGGTTCTTTCTTCTTCGATAAGCGTTGGCACGCCTAAGCGTTGTCCCGTACAATGGAGGCAAGTCCACAAGAAACCTAAGACCCCAGGACGTCCATCGATTTTTGGTGTGGGGACGTCACGCTTTCCATCGCAGAACCATCGAAGCCCAAGCAACCCAGGGCACCCTGGAGGCAAGCAGGGTGTTTCTTGGCACGTGCCCCCACTGTACAGCAAGCTCGTGTCGTGACGACCCTGGCGCTGGTTTCTGACACCGCGTGGATCGTGCAGCCTCGAACGACCGGCGGCTTCTCGATCACCCGATCGATCCATGTAGGCCGATTCTGGGCCACTGGCGGCGTTCAAAGGATTGCAAAAAAACCTAGGATTGCAAAAAAAAAAAAACTGAACGAAGGATTGCAAAAAAAAACCGAACGAAGGTTTTTTTGCAATCCTTCGAAAAAACCTAGGATTTGCAATCCTTCGTTTTTTTGCAATCGAACGCCCGCGGCGGGGTCGCCGCCGGTCGACGCGACGCGAACCTGCCGTGCTTGGCTGACGCTCGGGCGTGCCACCGTCCGGGGGCGGGCCCCCACCGCCGATGGGTCCTCGATGGCGGTGGTCCGGGTCCTTCTCTCGGATCAGAGCGGCCCGCATCCTTGCATACAGGCTTTGGGTGCGACGCTCGGGGAAGAGGGGGAGGAGGGGCAGCCCTTCATCTACTGTCAAATTCTGTGAGAGGGGCCCTGGGACACACAAACAAATACGCACAAATAACAGGAGTCCCCATATTTTCCCCCTATATTTTCTGGGTGTGTGCCTTCCCTCCCACTTCCCGTATTTTCCCACTTTTTTTTGAAAATCGTAAATGAATTGTGTCTGTTTTTTTTTTTCCCTCCTGATTTTAATCACACGCAGGAAAACCCCCTGGCCGCCTTCCCGTGGGCTACCGCGATTCAGTCACGAGCGTCGTCGTGCTATCAAGAATATGCAATGCGGCCTCAGAGGGTGCACCCGGCTAAATAATGCCCAGGACCTGTCCCGCCCAAAAAACGGCCGCAAGACATCCAAGGATGGTCGACTGAGAGGCCCCCCAAAGGCGGGATGGGCCAAAATCCACTGGATAATTACCACATGACTGCCGCGCCATCAATCCATTCTACCCCTGAGCAGCGAACACCCGAGGCCCTCTGCAATCATCTGAAGCGTAGCTCTCGGATTGCCATGCGGTGCCCGCGGCGCATGGACGCCTCTTCCTCCTCCTCCTCCTCCTCCTCCTCCTGCTCCTCCTCCTCCTCCTGCACCTCCTCCTCATTTTCATTCCCTGGCATCCGCGGTGGCTTTCCAGATAGGATGCGGCTCGGTGGCTTGTGGCTCGGGGTCTTTTCGATCAGCAATCCCAAAGGGCCTGAACGGCTTGACCAAAACCAGTGGAGCGTGCCGAGAACGCGGCAGCTCCGAGTGCGACTCTATCGAGACCTGCCTGCAGTCCTTGCTGCAGCCTCAGCCTCGCGGGCCGCCACGCGTGCCTGGAGCGCCAACAAGCCTGGGGTCATGCATCACTCCAGGAGTGGGCGCAGGCGAACTAACATCTCGAGGCGGGTGTTGCTGCGCAGCGCGGACGCCCCGGGAGGGCCACGGAGGAACAGAGCAGGACGGGCCACAGTGCGAGAGCATAGCTCAACCTCGGTCAGGGACGCACAGGACCAGGTCATCCCACACCCAGGTCTGCCAGGGCCCTGTCGCGAAGCCCGGCTGGCCGACCAGTGGCCCCCAGACCCAGGGCCAGCGGTGGGCCGGAAAGGGGGGACTGGCCCCACGCCCCACGTGCCACTGCGCCGACCTTGCAGACGCGCTCCAGCGGATTTTTGCGTGGATTTCTGTCGGTGCAAAGCCCGAAACGGCGAGTGGAGATTGAAGGGAATTTCGCGTGGATTTGTCGATCCTCCATTCCTGGCCAAAAAATCCGCACGAAATTCAACTCGAAATCCGGAACGGAATTCTCCAGGACACTCCGGGCTCATCCTATCGTTTTCCAAACGAACTCCGCTCTGCGATGTTGGCGCCATGACACGTGGCTCCCAAATCGGGGCCAGCTAGATGGCTCTGGCCGACACCCTTTAGCGCTGACCTTCACGACTGGGGCCCGACAAAATTATCGGATTTTGCGCGCCCATACGTTTTCATTTGCGGAGCTGGGCTCCCTGGCGCGAACGGCCGAACGACCCCTGCAGCGGGACACTCTAGCAACACGGTTGGCCGCCACAAAAATCCTCGAATTAACGCTGACCGCGCAAAGGCGCCCCCGCAAAAGCGACGACGGCCGAGCAGGCCCCGGCGGGGCCCGACAAAATCTGGTTTTCATTTGCGGAGCTGGGCTCCCTGGCGCGAACGGCCGAACGACCCCTGCAACGGGACACTCTGGCAACACGGTTGGCGCCACAATCCTCGGTTTAAGGCTGACACCGCGCAAAGGCGGTGTCGAACAGAATGTGCAGTGCACGCACTCGTCATCGTCGTCGTCGTCCTCGTCGTCGTCGTCGTCGTCGTCGTCGTCGTCGTCGTCGTCTTTGTCCACCGCCGTCGTCGCTCTCGTCGTCCTCCTCCTCCTCGCCGTCGGCGGCGTCGCCCTCGCCGTCGGCCCGGCGACGACGACGACGAGGGCGGCGGCGGGCAGGCCTGGGCGGCTCCAGGCGCGCCCGCACGTTGTCGAAGCGCGCGGGGCGCCCGCCCAGGTGGGAGGCGGCCCTGTCGAGGCGCAGGCGCCCCAGCGTGGAGGGCACGGCCGCCTGCACCTGCGCCGCCGCCGCCGCCGGCAGCGTCGACCACGGCGACGCGGGCGCGGCGGTGAGAGCAGCGATGCTGGTGACGATGCTGACAGCGACGACGGCACGGCCGGCGACGGCCCGGGTGCTGATCGCGCCGACGACGATGACGGCGTCGTCGCGTCGGCGATGAAGGCCGCCCTGGGCCACCGGGGCCTCCAGAGTGCGCTCCTCGGGGGGGGAGCTGGAGGCCTCCTAGGTTTAGGTCGGGCATGTCCCCTGCAGGCGGACCGTGGGCGGAAAGTTGAAAATACTCGAACAACTCCCACAAAGAGCAACAAACGTGCTAACAAAAACTCGTGCCCCGACTGTTTGTTGACTATCTTTGAGTAGTCCCCCTGTATAGAGGGACAGGCCCGACTTGAGGCCTCCTGGATGGGGTCGGAATAGAGGGGGTCGGATGAGAGCGCCGCATCGCCGATGCATCGGCGATGCATTGGGAGGAGGAGGAGGAGGAGAAGGAGGAGGAGGAGGAGGAGGAGGGGCAGGAGGATGGCGAGGAGGGGGAGGAGCACGAGGAGGAGCGGGCCGGAGCGGGAGCCGCGACGGCGGCGGCGGCGGCGGGAGCCTCCTCCTCTGCGCCGCATCCCCGCCGCCGCCGCCGCCGTCGTCCTGGGCCACGGGGGCCTCCAGTCGCCAAACAACCGCTCGACAGTGGTCTGGGTCCGCCGCGGGAGGTGCACGATGCATGACATCGAAGCGAGCACGTGGCTTTTTGGACTTTTGCGGGCAGGCACTCTGCGAGTAGTGGCACGCGCTCGGTGCTCCGGAGTGCGACTCCTCGGGGGGGGAAGCGGCAGCACGTCGAGGGCCGCTGGAGGGGGTTCGAAGATCTCGAACTGCCAGGTTCAAAGCTCGAGGTGCTCGGGGGTTTCGTCGGTTCTCGGCGGCGTTCCAGACTCAGGGTGCCTTCCAGCAACTGCGCATCGCCGCAGGCGTTCCAGGGGTGCCGGAATTTTCCCGAACGGCCGCTGGGGAACCAAGCTAGGACCCGAAAACTGACGGGTAAGCCTGATCTCTAGCTGCCAGAATTTCCTCGACGAGTCTGGACTCTACCGATGTTGCTTCACATTCTGGCATCGGTCGTGACCCACTTGTCTCAAGATCGGTTGCGACCGGTAATCTGCGACGGGTCGCGGCCGGCTGTTGAATCGGTCGCGATCGACCGCGACCAATTTGGAGTGCCGATCGGTTGCTACCTATTGCGACCGAACAAATCCAGTATCCAGTGATCTGGGCTTGCTAAAAGGTTTGGCGGCGCGCACGATGGGGTAGGGGGAGCGGGGAAGGCGTCTTGGCAGGAGGCTGCTTCTGAGAAGGCGCGGGCCCTACACCTGTAGAGAACTCCCGCGCCTTCTAATAAGCGGGTCTGCTATTGAGAAGCCTTCCCCTTCCCCCCTACACTCGGGGGCGGCCAAAAGGGGAGCGTCCAAGAGGGGGGGGCGCAAATCATTGCCGGCGGCATGTGCGCGGCCCAGGGGGGGGGGGCCAGGGACGCAATGAAATAAGAAGAGGCGCCATGAAATCTGGGGAGATATCATGGCCCCCGCCATGATATTCACACCCCCTAGTCATCAGCCCCCTCTTGGCCGCCCCCGATACGCCCTTTGCGCACTGCCGAAACATCCAATGAACTCAGCTTGCCAAAGGCCGGCCCTCCGCGCCACTCCAGAGGCCCCCGAGGGGCCCTCCACGCGCCAGGTGCCGAGGTGCTCTGGAGGACGCGCGTGGGTTGTAGCTGTTAAGACGAAGCCAGGATGAGGATAGATTCGGGTGAGGATAATGTCGAGAATCTCTGAGATCCGGCGGCTCTGGAGGATGTGTCGGGCGCCGTGGCCTTCTCGGAGCGTCCCGGAACGCTCTGAGAGCGTTCCGGAACGCTCTGGAACGGATTTACCCTCGGCCCCATCCCCGTCCGACGCCGCCTTGCGTCTTCGTTGCGGAGCCGGAACTCCTACAGAACCACCGGCCGTCTCGGAAGCCGCTGTTCCAGGAGGTCGGAAAGGGGGAGGAGGAGGCGGAGGAGGAGGAGGGGGAGGAGAAGGAGTAGGAGGATCAGGAGGAGAAGATGAGGACGAGGAGGATGAGGAGGATGAGGAGGAGGAGAAGGGGAGGAGGGGAGCCGTGTCTGCTTGGCCAACCTCTCTCACACACGCACACGCACAACGATCCTGGCCAGGCCCATCCTGGGCCCAGGATCTGTTGAGCCGGGACCGACCGTGCCGGCATTCCTATACACACATCTATATATGTATACACACAAGACTGCAGTGGCGCTTCGCGCCATGCACCTTGGTCCTTGAAGTTTGGTCTGCAGGCGGAATAGCAGGAAGGTCAAGCCGACAATTTAGCGATAACTCCTTGTTGCCTTCTCTGGCATCGCCGCTATTATCATGTTGTTCGTTGTCCTTCCTCCATGCTTCTTTTTCATCATTTTCGCCACACCCTGCGCATTCTCCCCATCCTCCTCAGCTCTTTTTTGCGGAGGCTCCTCCTTGGAGAGCCTCTAGGGGTCTCACAAAAATTGTTGCAAGCTTTCTTAAGGCCTTCTGGAGGCCTCCTGGGCGTATTCTGGGGGCCTCTGGGGGCTTCCTCGGGCCACCCTGCCTCCAACCGCGGTCTCCCTGAACGACTGGGTCACGATTTGGAATGCTTCGGAGGGCGTCTTGGTGCCATCTTGAGCCGCCATGGGGCTCTCTGAGGGCCATCTTGGACCCGTGTTGTGCCCGTTTGGGGATCTCTTGGACTGCCTGGAAGCCCTTTCGGATGGTTGTGGGGCGATTTTGGAGCCTCCCAGGCGGCTTCGGACGCCCAGAAGACCGCCGTCTTGGAGCGTCGGGAAGCCGAAAAGAGGAGACCCCCACAATTCACCAAAAACCAACAGAAAATCAATGATTTTTGCCTCTTGGGGCCTTCTTGGGAGTGCTCTTGGCCTCTTTGGAGCCGTCCTGGAGGCATCTTGGGCCATCTTGAGGTCACGTCGGTCACTCTTGGAGCGCTCTTGTGCTGTCCTGGGGGTCTCTGGGACGTCTCCGATGACCCCCCTGATCGCCCTAGGTGTGCTGGGAAGGCTTGGCAAAACGCCCTGCGAGGCCGGGGGACCGCTTCGAGGCCCGTCCGGAGGGTCCCAAAGCCCCAAATCCCGGGAGTCCGGTTTTTTTTGGGGGGTCCCCCGCCCGGGCTTATAAAAATATAGGAAGAGGAATAGTCGGAATAGTCCTAGCACGAACTGTTTTTAGAACCCAAAAATGTCAGAGGAACAGAAGCAATGTTCTCAGAACGTAAACCCGAGGTGCTGAAAAAAACGTCTCAGCCAGAGCTGTTTTAGTAACACTTCGTACACACGGCAAAAAGTTGTTAGAGCATGATTTGGTGGGCCTGGAGTCGAGCCAGGACGCCTCGCCACTACTTCGATCTGTGTATGCGCCCTCCTGGCCTTGTCTCCATGCGCTGGGCCTGTCACGGATCTGCGTGGGCGTGGGTGTACAGTGGAGGCCAGTCCACAAACAAACGTTCCACGGGAAACCCAACCCTGAGACCCCAGGACGCCCATGGATTTTTGGTGTGGGAACGTAACGCTTCCCACAGCAGAAGCATCGAAACCCAATACACCCAGGGCCCCCTGGAGGCAACCAGGGTGCTTCTTGGCATGGGCCCCCACTGCATGGTTGGCCCCCCCGACTGAACCCGTGGGGGGGTCGGTGCACATCCACGTTTACTCTCGGTACCGAGGGGGGTCGAGGACATCCACATCCACCGCCTCACGATGCCCAGGATGATCGACTCCCCAGGAGGTGGGGTACGGCAGGTTCGCGTCGTGTCGACCCCGGCGATAATTCCTGACACCGCGGGGATCGTTCAAACTTGAACGAGCGGAAGTTTCAAAAACGCCGTATTATCTCTTCGATGGGCCGATTCTGGGCCACAAGCGGCGTTCAAACTTAAATGCCCTCGCTGGGTTCGCCGCTGGTCGACACGACGCGAATCTACCGTATGTATAAATTCCAGTCTCGTCATCGTCGTCGTCCTGCGTTGTCGTGGTCGGCGTCGCTGTCCTGCGTCATTGTCGGGGGTGGGGGGTGACCGCAACAATTTCACGCCGCGATGACGTCGGCATTGGTCTCTGACACCGCGTGGATCATCAAACAATTAGCGATCGCGGCTTTCGATCGCGCAATTTGTTGTCGTTCGATACCGACCGGTTCTGGGCCACTGGCGGCGTTCAACCTGGAACACCCGCGCTGGGGTCACCATCGCGTCGGCCCGACTCGAACCTACCGTTCATAGAAACATGGACTCGGGAACGCGTTCGAGTAGATTGGGTTCCGGTCCGCCTCAGAAAGGATGAGGAGGCAAAAGGAGCCCCCTTCGATTGCTCGAAGCAGGTGGAAACTGGGATCTGGACGTCTAGGCAAGACTTTCAACGAGCGACCTGTAAGTAAAAGATGCGTAGGTAGGAAAATGGACGGGCAAGCAGGCAGGCCATGTGGTAGGACAACTTGACAAGCTAGCCACGGCACTTGCTTAGGTGCATGTGAAATTTTGTGGCGGGGGTGTGTGCCATGGGCTGTGGAGGACGGTGGCGTGGGCAAATACATCGTAACGATTTCGTTCCCTTAAGTGATATAGTTCAATGCGGTCGTCGACTCATAGATGACTTGTCCCTCAATATAGAATCGCAAAAGCTGAATCTCTCTGTAAGCTTATCCTAATATCTTGTATGATCAGGAAGCAACAAGTGTCGAGGTGCCTTACACCCCTATTGCCCTGATGAGGTGGGGATCACAAAATTCGAGATTCGGGGAGGCACGTATTTTTGACACCAGGCGACTCGTATGCACAATGCTATGTTAGTCTGGTGTAACGATGTCCTGCTCGCTCTGGCGGGGCTGCCTTCAATGGCTGCCTACATCCGAGACTTCGCCTCGCAACCGTTGCGCGGCCAGACCGGCCCAGCAGGTGCGCCCTCCCACGTGGGCTCCCTTCGCTTGCTAGACTGAAGCTTTTGAACCGACTCGGTAGTTATGGTTCAGCGGGCGAGGTGAGGGCGAGCGTGGATGGGGAAGAGGAGGAGGAGGAAGAGGAGGGAGAGGAGGAGGAGGGACGAGGTAGAGGAGGAGGAGGAGGAGGAGGAGGAGGAGGAGGAGGAGGAGGAGCTGGAGGAGGAGCTGGAGGAGGAGGAGCTGGATGAGGAGAACGAGAAGGAGAAGGAGGAGGAGGAGGAGGAGGAGGAGGAAGAGATCGAGGAGGAGGAGGAGGCAAACGTGGATGGGGAAGGGGGAGGGGGGAAGAGAAGGGCCTGAGCGGGAGGTATCGACTGCAAACTGATACCAAGAGTATCTCGCTCCCACGGTGGTGCTCCGCCGCGTGGCCACGAAAATGGCCGACTACAGAACAGCTGCTAACAAGAATCGTCACACTGGGCATCGGGTATCGGCACAGCACAGCCTCACAACTGCGAGAAGGCTGTGCAGCAATTTGACATCGAGCAGGAAGGTTGTTTTATCAAGCGCGGCAAGGCATCTTTCCCAGTCTGGGCGTCTGCCTGATTCTGCCCGCCATACTTCGGGGCAACAGTCCTACACCTGGAGCAGGGCGCGGGCAGTGCTATTCGCCAAGCGCGTGCTTGCTTGCAACAGGCCTTCCATACATAGAGGCCTCCTAGATAGGGTCCGAGCAGAGCGGGTCGGAGGATCGCGCCGCATTGCCCATGCATCGCCGATGCATCGGCGCCATCGGTGTGAAGAAACTCTGGCTCCGCATCGAGCCGCATCGTCTTCTGCAGCAACTCTTGAGAGCCTTCCCATACTATCTTGTTGGCTATTGCATATCGATACCACTCAACTATAATCGACACTACGTCGACACGAAATCGACAGTACTCGACGCTAGATCGACGCTAGTCGACGCTAAATCGGCGCTTCCTCAGCGATTGCCAAGCTCTGGAGCACGCGAACGCACGCTAGAGACGGAATTGCGAGGACACAGGGCTCCCAGGATTTACTATACCGAACGAGCCGCATCGTACAGTAGGAGCTCGACCACAAGAAACCTTCCACAAAAAACCCAACCCTGAGACCCCAGGACGTCCGCTGACTTCTGGAGTGCGAGCGTCACGCTTTCCACAGCACAACCGTCGAAGCCCAAGAAACCCAGGGCACCCTGGAGGCACGCAGGGTGTTGCTTGGCAGGGGCTCCCACCGTGGACGCGTCGTCGATGCGGAGCGATCCTTGGACCTCGTCCACTCAAACCGCATGCAAGGCGCCCGGATCCACACGGGGGCGCGGTGCCACCCCGCCCGATGCAGCACAGGCCTGCCGCCGCGCCCTGCGGAGACGCGGGCGCGCCGGGCCGCCACGCCCGGGCGGAGCCTCTGCCGACGCGCACGGCGCGCCCCGCCTGCGTGGCTCCTGTGACCGTGCATGGACGTTAGGTTCGAGCCTCTGGAGTCCCGAAGCGGTGCGGTGACGGACCGTGCGGTGACCCCGGAACTCCAAGAGACCTCAACGCACGGTCCGTCGCCGCACGGTCTTGGGACCTCGGAGGCCCCCGTCGCCCGAGACATCCTCGTAGAGGAACTCGGGTCCCAAAACCGTGCGGTGACCCCGAATCCCCACCGACTCACCGCACGGTGTGGTCACCACCCCGTTCGGGGGCCCCCGAGAACCCTGTGGCCCAAGATGCCCACTGGACCCCCTGAAATTAAGATTGGTGGCATTATACGCAGGAGGGGGCGTGAGTGGACAGGAATATTCGAACCCCCAAAGCACCACCTTGCCGAGATCAACATTGATTTCGAAGGTGGGGGGGATTATCAAAAATCCGCTCGAACATTAGTATTGTTTCGAATAGTTTGTCTATCCAGTGGACCTCCCCAGCCCTGGGGGTTTACCTCAAACCCTGCCCCAGAAGTGCCACTGCTGGCGACCGATCCTATCTATTGGATGCACGTGAGCGTTTTTTTATTCGGCGTTTCGACATTGGGCGGAAGGGGGGGGAGGGGGGGGTCTGACTCCGGACCTCTGCTTAGTGCGACTGTTTGGAACGGTGCGTCCTCTGGGGGAGGGGCTCGACTCCACATGCTCGAAACAGGCGCCAAGAACAGCCAAGATCCACTCCAGGGGGGGGGAAGGTGGGGTCCGAGGGCCCGCGCCGATCGGCAAAACAATGAATACAAAAACGATCACTACCCTTTTCGTGGAACGCCCAGTTTGGGGTGAACGCTACGGTTGATGATGTCGTGGGCCGGTTACCCCGAGTCCAAACAAGAATCTCTGCCTACCCCCTCCCCAGGGTCCCAGCCTCCGCCCTTCGAAGCGGTGACGGGGTCCCGCAGACAAGCAACGTGCGTTGTGGTGACACGTATTTGCTGTTGCTTCTTAATCTGCCTACATGATGCGCCCAAAGGGGCCAATCTTTCCATCGACTTCTTGTCCATGCGAGCCACCCCCCCCATAGAAAACGAAACAAGCCCCCTGTGCAGCACTCATGATTACCAATACGGCCACGTACCCCCCCCTCCTCACGTGTGATCGCACGCTCCCCCTAATACGGCCAACGCCGTCCACGGTGACAGCACAACCGAAAATTGGCCGAATCGGCAGGCCGCAACCAGGCTAGACGCGCGCGGAGCAACCATGATACGACGACCGACGCAACCGAACCGACCGAACGCAACCGACTTCGATGCAGCCGAACCGCCCGAACCGCGGACACCTTTGACGGTCCAGGAGGGCCCCAAAGATGCCCCAGGCAGGCCACCGAGATGCATCCGAGGGGCCCCAAACGCCGCACGACCAGAAGTCAGAACTCGAAGCTTCGAGTTCTGACTTCTGGTCGTGCATTACCTCGAGTTCTGACTTCCATGGGCTTTGCAGTCCTACTTCCAGTTCTGACTATGCACTCGAACCATCGACATATAGACTCGAAGATTCGAGTCCAGATTTCGATTCATCGGCGCCAGGGATGCAGGGCACGGCTGCAAAGCCCACGGACGTCGCCTCGGAGACAGCTCAGCGCGGCACCAGACCAACAGCTCTGCTGCCACGCTGCTGCAAACAGGAACGCCACATCAGGAAGGATGCCCCTCTTGTGGAGCCCGGAAGAGCCTGGGTGCACGAGGGACTCGAGGAACAATCACGGAATGACCTGAACCCGTGTGTATGAGGATGAGGAGGAGGAGAAGGAGGAGGGAGGAGGAGGAGAAGGAGGAGGAGAAGGAAGAGGAGGAGGTGTAGGAGGAGGAGGAGGAGGAGGAGGAGGAGGAGGAGGAGGAGGAGGAAGAGGAGGAGGAGGAGGAGGAGGAGAAGGAGGAGGAGGAGGAGGAGGAGGAGGAGGAGGAACCACGGAATGACCTGCACCTGTGTGCATGAGGAGGGCTGGAGGAACAAGCACGGAATGACCTGCGCCTAGGTGCATCGAGGAGGGCTGGAGGAACATCCACGGACTGACCTGCGCCTGGGTGCATGAAGGAAGGGGCTAGAGGAACAACCACGGCATGGCCTCAAGATCGGCGGTGGACAAACCTCCCTTTAGCCTCCCCTTAGTGAAAACGGCCTGGGACCGAAACCAACGGACCTGGACCCGCAAAAATGACGGCCGCGACGCCCTCTCGCGAACCGAAAACGGCCAATTCCTCAATCGACGTGTCAGGGTAGGGGGTCTGTCCATCCCCAACAAGAACGGCGGGCCCCGCCCGAACTCACGGCGGTCCTTCCTTCGGCGTCTCGACTGCAGGGTCGAGCACCGAGGACGGGCAGCGGAGTCGAGCACGCCCTGCTCTGCTGCTCTGCCGCCCACGGGACAGATCGGCACACGCGTCCGTCGGTTGGCTCCTCGACGGCGCCCCTGCGGCCCAGACAGCGCCCTCGAGGGACCCCGGGACGGCCCAGGCCCCCAGAAGGCGGCCGTCGGATGGGCTCCGGGCGGGGCCAGCCAGAGGCCAGCCGAGGACACCGAGGACGAGACGAGACCAGCCGGAGGACACCCGAAGACTGCCACCAACTCCGCAGGCTGGCCCAGGACCCCCACGAGCGAACGAACGGACGCGCGAACCGCCCCCACCGCACCGCTCGGAGGCGCAGCCCTCAAAGATGATTTGCCGCCGCTGAGCTCACAATACATGGGCTGCCAATCCTCCGCTTTCTTTGCCCAGGATCCCCACCACGACCGAGGCCCGGCACCAAAGCACGAGCGGCCCCCCAAGGAGCGCCCCCCCCCTCGAGGGCAGGATCCGTCAGAGCCGAATCGGAAACTTGGGTCGAATCCAAATGTGCGTCGGATCGGGGCTGTATCGTTAGGTCGGGCGTGCCCCTCTACAGGCGGATTTTGGACGAAGAAGTAAACATACCCCCAAAATATTCCCCAACAGTCAAAACATGATGAAGCAATTCTCCCCAGAGTATTTTGTTGGACCATTTTCGAGTGTTCCCCCTGCAGGGGGACACGCCCGACTTCTCTGCATCGGCACGTCGTCCCAAAACCGACGCGGATCGGCTGCGCCAACATGCGCAACAGCGCCATGCAGGCACCGGGCCGCATCAGATCGCCAGATTTGAAGGGGCCCCAGGACACACAAATAAATACACACAAATAACACATATCCCGGTATTTTCCTACATTTTCTGGGTTTTTGTCTTCCCCCCACCTCCCATATTTCCCCCTATTTTCTGGGAATCGACGATTAATTGTGTCTGTGTTCTTTTTTTCCCTCCTGAATATTGTTCTCTTACACACAGACACGGAGGCGGCGCCCCCTCCCCGACAAAAAACGGTCTCGAGTAGCACCTCCGCGGGGCGAGCTCAGGGAGCAGAGCTGGTCTGAATCAGGATCTCCCCAAGCGCCTCAGCAAGCAGCGACAAGATCACGCAGTTCAGCCCGCAGGTGCGAGCGAAAGCAGCCGAGGAGGGCGAGGAGGAGAAGGGGAGGAAAAAAGGATAGGGGCAATGGCGCTGTGCGGATATCCCCTGGGACCCAAAGGAACGCTTATGTAATCTAAAAACGAAGCGGCACGCGAGGGGAAAGGGGAGGAAGGACAGGAGGAGAAGGGAACAAGGAGAGAAGATGAGCACGGACACGCCCGGTGCAGCCTGTTTTTATCCAGGTCCAGCGCCAGAACTGCCCGAAGCGAGGTGGAGCAAGACACGAAGCATCGCCATGAAGACGCACGAAGCAGGCCTGGCACGCCAAGGCTCCAACCAGGGCAACAAAACGCAACAAACAGGCACGACTTACCGCCAGAAAAGAGGGTCGGACAAACATAATGACTAGCTACTGAACATCAACGTCCTAGCTCGGGCACGCGATCGTGCAGGGATGCTGCCATGCGGTTCCTTTTGGCAATCCTCCCGCGCAGCAGCTTTGAGCACCTGGTCTGCGTCGGTGATCTCGCGCGTGCGGTCCTGGGCCACCAGTAATGTTTTGTATGCAGAGTAATTAACCCAAACTGGCCCGGAGCAAGCCGAGCTGCCGACTCGTGCGGGGCGCACTCTGCTTTCCGAGCTGACCGATGGAACCACACCGAGAAAGCTGTAAAGGCACTGCGCGTCAGCCGGCCGCCCCTACGAAAAAACTTCATCACGTCAGGCGCAATGCGGCTGCAAATCGCATGATGCGCGACAATCGATCCCAGAACATCCGAATGCACAAAATGAACACTGCTGGAAACGCCGGGTGGTAATCAAGGCTTTCTAGGCTGTCCGAAATGCGATCACCAGGACACAGAGCAGGGCGGGTTGCCCCAGCGTGGCCAAGTGAGCCAGGCTGCGCGTCGATGCCCCAGTGAACCAGGCGCCGCCGCAAGAACGCGTCAGTATGAGCCTTCGCCTGCAGGCGCGTGGCCTGCCGCATCCGCTTCAGTTGTTGCTTTTCCACCTGCGTGGCCTGCTCGGTGCGACTCAGGGCACGACTGCGCTCCAAGCTCTTGGATGTGCTCAGCACCTGTCTCCGATGCGAAAAACGAGTTTCCGCCCCACCGCTCGACAGCGTAGGCAGGCAGACCCAAGCTCCGTTGATCACCTTGCATGGGCGCCCGGAGGCGGGCAGTCTGCGCGCGCACGGCGAGCCTTCCTTGCGTCAACACCTCGGAATGACGCGCCCGGGCCTGGGCCGCCAGAGCAGCGCGCCGGGGGTCGAGCAACTCGCACGGGAAACCGAGGGCCATGAGCTGCACCATCACATCAGCCCTCGTTCAGTTGCTCGGTCCTGGACCAGGAAGAGCTTCGCACATGCGCGGCCTTCGATCGCAGCGCAGTTGGCCGGGAAGGGGCGCAGCTGCGCCGCGAACGTTGCGACCGACGCTGCGGAAATCCAGAAGGCTTCGAAAATGTGGTACACGCCTGGGCCACTCTCCTTCAAGAGCGCGGCGCGCACGGTCCGTCAATCCCTTGCCGGAACCAGGGCCGAGGACGAAGCCCAAATTCTTGGCCTCGCCCCTGATGGCCATGGCGCCCCGAGCCGCCGCCCTGCTGGATACATCGGCAAGCAGCGCTGCCTCGTCGCAGTGGAACGGCAGAAAGATCGCGGAGCTTCGGGAATTCAACTACAAACCAGTGGTGCGGACGAGCTCCTCGAAAAGGCAATGCAGCGCAAGCAGATGCTCGAGGCCCGGGAGGCCAGGATGCCCGGGTCGTCGGCGCACGCCCGATCGAGGGGCGACGCGCGGAACCCGTCGACGAAATGCAGCCGAAGCAACTGCGACAAACAATGGAGGCAGCTGGAACACGTGCCGCACCCCGCGCGCGAGGATGAGGCCAGCGCACCGCGCGCCATTCACGGCGACGTCGCAGTGGCTGTTCTGGCACAGCACCTCGACAAACCGAATGAGCCCAAACGGCCAGCCAAAGTGACGAAGCAGCTGGATCCCGAAGCCGTGCTTGATAGACTGGAGCACCGCCTCGAAATCGAAGATCATCAGAGACTCGGTGTCGGCCAGGTAGTGCTCCGCCAAGCCCTCATCAACGTCAACCGGGTCGGACAGCATGGGCCTGCCAGCGAAGAAGCCACGTTGGGATGGAGTGATGCGCCCAGCCCATCCTCCATGGCCATGGCAAGCAACCTATCGTTCGTGTGTGTGTGTGTCAAATTCTATGGGCGGGCCTTGTCTGCAAGATGGTAGAGCTCTCCGTGGGCTGATCGGTCCGGAGGGCCCCTGGGGAGGAAGTGAATCAAGCTGAAGTTGAAGTCCTCGGCGTACTGGCGAAGGCGGTCGGCGCCGCTGGAGCTGCATGCGTCCGCGACCACCTCGTGCAAGAAGTCCACGGCCAATGATTCACGTCGCCCCCGCGCCAAGAAAGGAAGCCCATTGGGACTGGGCGACGAGCTTCCGGAACCGCGGATCTCATGCCTCATGTGGTGGCGCCACAGCCTGAGGCTGCGGGCTGGGAAGGGCGCCGAATGCGACAGCGGCTGGTCGTCCCCGTTCTGTTCCGCCCATTCTTCCAGATCGGCCACGTCGATGCCGCGCCGAGCAAAAACCTCACTCCAGTGTCGCTACGAAGCCACCATAATTTGGTCAGGTGTAGTCAGCTGCTCGCCGCGCTTATCCAATGTGGATTGCAACGCAGCGAATCGCCTCGGGCGCAGCCTTAGAGCAGGCGGGTGTGTTGAACCCGCGATTTCGCAGCCTGGAAGGCGTTGCCGCCTACGAGGTCAGCGTGAGATTGCCAAGCTCGTCGAAAGGATGGCCCCTGGCAAGCTCGACCGCGTGACTTCTCACCCTGTAGGGTTTACCAATGACATTGCCCATTGGCGACCAGCTCGCGGAGCCAGGGGCAACGAGCGATGCAAGCGGAGATCTCGCCTCCAGGCCGCCTTATGAGTCTGAGGGTACATCCCAATCGATCCTATAACGTCTCCGCTGCGGAGCAGTCCGCCCCCTCCAGCTGCAGGCCGACCTGGCGCCAGGCCGCTTTGAGGTAGCCCAACTCCTGGATGCCCATATCGTCTGGGTCGTCGCAAATCCGCTGCTTCACGCGCCTGCCGAAGTCCTCGTGCCGAAATGCGTGGTCTGGGATTGGCTTCATGGCCAGCGGGAGCCGCTGGGGCGACTGGCGGGAGAAGATCACAGCCCAGTTAGCCGAGAGGTGGGGCTTCCAAGCCAACGCACAACAGGATAGGTGACGGTCCAACTGCTCCGAGACCATCTGATTGAAGCAAACCCCGTCGAGTCGCGACCGGGCGCTGGCTGAAGCGTGCGGGATCTCCTCTTGGAGCATCCCGCAGAGGCCAAAAGGTGCGCCGAGTGTCGCCTCAAAATGCCGTTGCTCGCCAGAATCGCGCCCGCCTGTAGTCAAGGAAGTGGTCAAAACCCTGCGACCAGACTCCTCCGCCGCGCAACTGCAGTCGCCGCCCAAGACGGTCAAGGTATGCCAGGAGAGGGAGAGACGACCAGCGATCCGCGACCGAAGGCAGGCGCGCAATCGCGCTCGTGAGGGCGCATATCATAGGAGGTCCAGCTCCGTGATCGCGGCGCCAGGTGTGGAAGTGAGACCCCACCACATCCAGCGCCCCCAAACCTCCCCTCAATGACAATTTAGCGGCACGTCCTGTCCAGATGACCGAGCAGACAGGGGCCGCTTCGGACTTACTCAAGAACGCGCTCTGGACCACCACGCCTACCCCAGGATGCCCTGCATTCGGCCTGGCGTCCACCAACCCGCGCACCCCGGAGGCGCTCTCCAAAGGCGATGGTCCCAAGCGGGCCTCGGTGACCAGCAGGACGTCCTACCGCATCTTCGAGGCTCGACGCGAAGCATCCGCAGCGAAAAGGGCCCGCACGTTCCGGGTGCCCACCTGCATAACAGGAAGATCTGTCGACCCCTGCCTCAGGCTTCGTAGGGTCTTCAAGAGGACCAAACATCTGGGGCCCAACACTGGGATATACGATGGGGTGGCGTCCATCCTCGATAGGGGTGCGTCTGGGTGGTCCCCCTTGGGGTGTCCCAGGGTGTCCCCCTTTCTCCCCAGAACGCCCCCTTTCTGCAGCCCTCGATGCCCCTCCATTTATCGCCGTGATCTTACGCGACGCCCAAAGCGCGGCTCGATAGTGCCCTCAGGGGAGGCAAAGAGGCCGATGTGAGGAAGGTAGCCCCCTATCAGAATGAACCGCCCAAGAAAAGACATTCGCCCGAGAAGAAGCAAGCCTTGGAGAAGATGGTGAAGAGGATGGCGAATGAAGAGTGGAACTTGGCGGTTAAAAGTGCGGATGGCTGCGCGGCGAGCGTGACTGGCGGCGGCCAGCGCAAACTGGATCAGCCTCGGCAGGAAAGAGCTGCATGACGACAATGATCACATATCCGATGAGGCTCGTGCGATCGAGGACTTACATTTCATCGGATCGCCAGAACATTCAGAATCGAATCGAGTCAGGCCAACCATAATCGATATCGAATCTCGGGGGCCCCAGAACACGATGGTGACGGACCGCGCGGTAACCTCGGAATCCCAATAGACCTCACCGCGCGGTCCGTCACCGCACGGTTTTGGTACCCGAAGGCCCCAGTCGCCCGAGACGTCCTCGGATAACGACCCGACTCCCATAACCGTGCGGTGACCCCGAATCCCCACTGCCTCTCAACGCGGTCTGGTCCACACGCTGTTTGGGGGCCCCTGGCATCAGCCCAGCGCTCTGCGGGTCATAACTCGGCTTAGGTCGGGCCTGTCCCCCTACAGAGGGAGCCTGGGTGAAAAACTGAACATAGTCAAAAACAATACGCCAAAAATGCTCCAACATATAATGGAACAAGCGTCCCCAAACTATGCTTTGACTGTTTCTGCCTATCCCTGCTGTAGAAGAACAGGCCCGGCTCAAAACTCGGCCCTCCGGCGGCCGCTCGGGACGACCTGGGCACTCCCAGAATTAAGTCGGGCGTGCATCCCTACAGGGGGAGTTTCGACGAAAAATACAACATACCCTCAAAATAGCAAAAAAAAATACAAACAATAGTCTGGGGACTATTCTTTAAATATTGTTTGGCCTTTGTCGTCGAAAATCCCCCTGTAGGGGGACACGCCCGACATAACCCCAGAACGCCCGCGGTGAGGCGCCGCAACACGCACCCCGAGGCTGGAGCACCGCCGGAAAGGCCGACGAGAACGCCCGCAGACCTCGGGAACCGACGCGACGGCAGACCTCGACGATGCTCCGAGAATCGCTCGGCTCCAAAAACGCCCGAACAAAAACACCCACGAAGGCCCAAAGCCCTCGAAGCCCTCCGAGGACCGATCGGCTCCAAAAACGCCCGAACAAAAAACCCACGCACGCCCGAAGACCTCGAAGCCCTCCGAGGACCGCTCGGCTCCAAAAACGCCCGAACAAAAACACCACGCACGCCCGAAGCCCTCGAAGCCCTCCGAGGACCGATCGGCTCCAAGTGGGCCCCGGAGGGCCCCCTCGAGGGGCCTCCGCCCGCCGCGCCGGAGGGCGGCAGTGCTCGCGCCAGAGCCGCGGCCACGCAGCGCGCTGTCGCGCCGCGCCGACCGCACAGCGCCAACGGGCCGCGGCCACCGCGACGGCGCTCGACGATCCTGCGGTCCCCGCGTCGGCCACGGCCTGGGCGGCGGGCCAGCTCTGATGGGCCTGTTTTCCACCACCACCGTAAATTGGAGGACGAGGAGGAGGACGAAGAGGAGGAGGAGGAGGAGGAGGTGGAGGAGGTGGAGGAGGAGGAGGACCCCCTCGCCCTCCATCTTCTGGTGGTGGTGGTGGTGGTGGTGGTAGTGGAAAACAAGCCCACCAAATTCGTGGCGGCAGCGGAGCTGCGGCCCAGCTGCCGCGGCTTTGTGTGTGGCGGCCGCGGAGCTGCGGCCCAGCTGCCGCGGCTTTGTGTGTGTGGCCGGGCGGCGCGCTGCCGCACTGGCGCCGCTCCGTGGCGGGTGCGCGCGGCAGCGCCAGCTGGGCAGAAGTGCCCAGGGGCCGACACTCACAAGAGAAGACAAACCACATATCGGGGGTTGCTAAAGGTGCCCGTGGCCCAAGAAGTACCCCCAGCTTTTCGCCCCATTTTGGAGCCCCCGAGGCCCTCTGGGCCTCGTGAAGGGTGCTCCGCAGGGCGCGTGGGCCTCCTTGGAAATCCCGGGGGCACCTTGGGCCAGGGGCACTTCTAGCAACACCCGAACATACGGTTGGCGTCGCAGAGATAGGTTGCCACGGGAGCGTTTTCTGCTGCGGCTCTGCGACACTGGGCGGAAGGGGGGGAGGGGGGGGGGGGGCTCCAGACCTCTGCTGCAGGCGACTTTTCGCAACACTGTGCCCTATGGGGGAGGCTCCACCTGCTTGAAAAAAAAGGTGTCAAAAACGGTCCAGATCTTCTCCGTGGGGGGGGAGGGGGGGTGCGAGGGCCCGCGCCGATCGGCAAAGCAATGACTAAGAAAACGATCGCCACCTCGCTCTCCGAGAAGCACGCTGTCCCTGCGAGGCGGCTCCCCCGTGGGGGCCCCTTCCTGTGCACGCCGCCCCCCCTGCCGGGGCCTCTCCCGTGCACGCTATCCCCGAGGTGGGGATGGCGTGTACTAGGCGGGCCTGCGGCGCCACACCGCACGCTATCCTTGCAACGCCGACCGCACTCCGGATCGCATGAACTTTGTGGCCTCCTGGACGGGGTCGGAGCAGATGGGGCCGGATAGTCGCGCCGCATCGCCGATGCACGGACGACTCGGGGACGGACAGGACCCCTTTGGTAAAACGTGGTTTCGTAAAAGCGACCTCGGGCCCAGACCTGGCGGGCGCAAGCCTGGAAAATGAAGGCCGCGGTGCCCTCTCGAGAGCCGAAGACGGACAATTCACCAGTCGACGCGTCAGGGTCGGGGTTCTGCCCACCCCTGAGCGATACAGTCATCGGCCTGACCGAAGGAACGATAAATAAGGAACGAAGCCCCTGTTTTCCAAGGGAAAAAAGCAGAAGGAACGACCGAGCCCCTTCTGAGAAGTAAGTGTTCCTTACTCAAGCCGCTCACTGTACATTGTCGGTACGCCAGCGATGCATCGGTGACGTCGGCCACGCAGCGGCGCCGTCAGCGTGGGGAGAACAACTCGGGCGCCACGTCGCGCCGCATCGCTGATGAAGCGGCGACGCGGCGCGGCCCTCCTGCCCCACCTGCCAGATGTGCTGACCCAGACTATCTGTGAGGCCCAGGACAATACAAGGAGGGGTCTGACTTGAGCTGGCTTGGAGGCCTCCTGGAGGTCTTCGCACAAGGCCGCCCTTTCATGGCTGGTCTGGGGGGGGGGACAATTGCACGCCTTGAAGGTTTTTTTGTGACACCCCCTTCCTTGATTATGGAATTCGGACGAAACGCGAACTTTCGCAGGTCCGCGCGGATTTCTTGGATCGGATTTGGACCCCACTAGCGCGCGCATCCGGCGCCGCCTCTGGCGAGCTCCGCGCGCCAGGGGCGTCCATCTCCGTTCCAAGAAGGTCGCGCAGACGTCCGAACGTTTATGCTTATGCTGTTGTTCTTCCTCGATCTATGCTTCTGGGTCGCCTAACTTTGCGCGTCGTGCCCCTACGATGCCCGACGCGCGCATCCCCGCGCCCTCGCGCCGCCTCCATAGGGAAAGCCACCTCTCCGACACAGACCGCCACGCGCGAGGCGAGATCATTTGCGCCCGCTCTGCTCTGGAGCCGATTTGAAAAGAATGGTGGAATGGGCTCCGCAGACGCATGCCCAGGGGCGGCAGAACGCGACCTTCGGAGCTATCGGCGGACCACCTCTAGAAAAAGCCCCTCACACTGTGAGTCCCAGAAGCGTCAAGCACAACCCTCTGTACCCGCCTCCCCGCAACAACTCAATCATTGGAGCGGCAATGATTGGCTTAAACTGATGACTACCGCAAAGCAGGTTCGCCCAAGCGAGCGAGGTGAGTAATATACAGGTTTCTGCATAAAGCCTGGCTGGAGCATGCGGAAAACCTGGCTGGAGGCTGCCTGGCCACTTCGAAGCCACGCCTGAGGATGCAGAATCCATATCCGCGACCGTGCCGCATGCACTGAGTGCAGCAGTGGGAAGGAAGGATGACTCCTGCGTGGGAAATGAGAAGACTGGACCACTCCCAGACATTAGTGGGTGGCGCGATGAAGGGCTTAGAGTGTGGTACCAATCCTGTGCGTCAGGAGTGACACCTCGGCCTCTCGCTGGGTCCTGGCATGCTCTTACAGCTTGCCCCCTGCTCACCTCCCCACCCAGAGATCTAGAACAAACAACTGTATAAACATAAACTTTCGGGCATCCGCGCAGATTTCTTGAATCGGCGCCATACCCCCCTCCCTGGCGCGCGGAGCACCAAAGGGAAGCGCCTCCAGCGCCGCCAGGGGGACTAAACGCCGACCCGGGAGATCCGCGCGGACCTCCGAACATGTATGATTGCGTTGGCATTATTTCCCTCGACTATCGTACCTCAGATCGGGCATGTCCTCCTACAGGAGGATTTTGGATGACAGATGAAACATAATCAACGCATGCTCGAAACATATCCTGGCGGGGGGCCCGCCATGTGCAGTTGCGAGTTACGCAGTTGTGGGTATCGACCTCGGTGAACCTCTCTGGGGTCACGACGCGTGTGACGGGTGTGCCAACATTGACACGAGTACGCCTTGCGGACCCTGCCACTGGAGCAGTCGGTGGAGCCCCATGTGAGGCCCAGGAACGTGTGAGGGGTGCGCCGAAATTGAGGTGGAACCGCGCGCGGGCGCTGCCACTACTAGGGCCACCGAAGACACGAAAAGTGTGCGGGGTGCGCCGATATGGAGGTGGAACTGCATGCGAACCCTGCCACTGGGGCCTTCGGCGGAACACTCCATGGGGCCACGAAGCGTGTGAGGGGTGCGCTGAACTTGAAGTGGAACTGCATGCGGACACTGCCACTGGGGCCTTCGGTGGAACACCGCATGGGGCCACGAAGCGTGTAAGAGGTCCGCCGAGATGGAGGTGGAATTGCATGCGGACCCTGCCGCCGGGGCCTTCGGTGGAGCTCCCTATGGGGCCGCAAACCATGTGAGGGGTTGCGCCGACATGCGGGTGGAACAGCACGCGGACCCTACCACTGTGTGGCCACGAAACGCGTGAGGGGTGCGCCGAACTGAAAGTGGAACTGAATGCGGGCCCTGCCACTGACCTTCGGTGGAAGACCCCATGGGGCCGTGGAGCGTGTGAGGGGTGCGCCGAAATTGAAGTGGAATTGCCTGCGGACCCTGCCTGGGGCCTTGGGCGGAGCTCCTTGTGAGGCCACGAAACGAGTGAGGGGTGCGCCGACATGGAGGTGGAATTGCATGCGGACCCTGCCACTGGGACCTTCGATTCGGGCCACGAGGCGTGAGGGGTACGCCGACATGGAGGTGGAAGTGCGTGCAGACCCTGCCACTGGGGCCTTCGGTGGGGCTCCATATGGGGCCACGGCACGTGCGAAGGGTACGCCGACATGGAGGTGGACCTGCATGCGGACCCTGCCACTGGGGCTTTGGGCAAAACGCCCTATGGGGCCACGGCACGTGCGATGGGGTGTGCCGTACTGAGGGTGGAACAGCATGCGGACCTTGCAACTGGGACCTTTTGTTAAGCTGTGACCAGGCTCGCGCAACACGAGGTCAGGCTCTAGCAGCCGCGCAGCTGGCGGCCGCGGCTGGCTGCAGGCGTAATCCGGGGAGCCGAGCGGCAAAGGGACGAGCTAGCCAAAAGGGCCAATTCTCCGCCGCAAGGCCGAGCCCCAAACATCACCGAGCCTGCGCCTTCGGCTGCACCTCCTTTGGCGGCAGCCCGAGCCTTATCCTTTCGACCTTCTCGAGCCGATGCTGCAATCCACGAGCGCTCCCTGGTAGCTTGCGTTCTGCGGACAAGCCTCTGTGCTTGCCTCCGATCACTCTCGCCTAGCAATGACAGCGCGTGCAAATGCGATATCCAAGGATGGTTGAGAGAACATGCTCGCCGCTCGCCGCTCCTGGAACCCCTGTGCCATCACCAGCGGGCGACGACGCAGCGGGGGGGCCAGTGGGGCAATCGAGGGCCACCGACCAGGACCGATCGGGCGAGCGCGAGCGGCGAGACGAAACAACAACCTTGCGGGGCAACCAGACTGCTGGCCGCGCCGCGAAAGGACACATCGGCGGGCGCACTCTCGCCGACGTGGGCTTCCCCCCACAGCTTCTGCACCGGGGCTTGGAGGAGACCTGAGGATACCCGAGGGGAGATGCGAGGCAAGCCCATCCTCAAAGCTCGCGCCACCAGCTGAACCCAGGCTGCACGGGGCTTCTGCAACGGGGCCCACGGGGGCGCGCGTGCAAGGTCCGACTGGGGCTTCTGCGGCGGGGCCAACAGGAGCCTCACAAGCACTGGCGACGCATTTTTCAGCCGATGCCGAGCGCGCAGACCCGCTCGAGCTCGCTCCAGAAGCTGCCGACAAGAGGTAGTCGAGCTTCTGCTGGGCTGTCTTGAAATCCTTGGCCTTCGGCAGCTCGGCGCTGCCGTCGCCTGTAGCCTCAGCAACTCTCGCCTCCTGCTCGGCCTGCGCCATCGCGGCGAAGGCTGCCGCCGCCGTGGCCGCCGTGGCCGAGGCTGCTCGAGCAGGTCGCTTCTTCGAAGTACTGCCAGAGTGCGGCGGGGAATAAGGCTTGGGCGCGCAAGGCTCGGCCAAAAAGGGCGTGATGTTGCTGCTATGCGCGGTCTTGAGGCAGCGCAAGAAAAGCATGCCACCGTTCGGGGCCTCGATGACCTCGTGAGCCGTGGGAAAAAAAAACTGATCATTGCTGGCCTGCTTGGTGACCGTCTCGTCCGAGATGTCAGCTCTGCCATCGGCAGCCATGCCGCCGGCAATCGAAACCCAGAAGAACGCGGCGTCGAACATGGTCTGCCTCGCCTGGATGATTTGCCGAAAGGCGTCGGGGGCGCCGGGTCGAGCAGCAATGCACTTGGCACACCGATCAGCTTCGATGTAGCCTCTGCGCGCTCTAGCCGTGACGAGGCCCTCTTGCACGTGCTGAACAGAAGCGCGCGCTTTGACCTTGGCAACTGTGAGGCCGTCTACGCCAGGCCCCCCGAGGTCCTGCACTGCGTGCCAGACGCGAACCCACAGCTCCGCCCGGGCTGCCTTGCTGCTCGCAGTGGCCTCGGGCCCACGAATATTGATACCATTCACCGCAAACTCAGCGCCAAAATGAGCTGTCACTGGTGGAGCGGTGTTCTTGAGAAGCAGGAGAAGCGCCAACGGCTCGCCGCCGTCAATGGACTGCAAGGCGCCAGCCAAAGGGGAGGCCAACGCACGCGTGGCAGACCTTGGCCTAGGTCGATGTGATCGCCGCCGCTGGGCAAAGCAATAATGGCACATCCTGCACAGGCAATTCTGGTGCCAGCGTCGATGTAGGCTCCATCTGCGGACACGTCGGGCTCTGCGAACGGCAGGCCCTCGTCGTAGCCCTTGATCCACTGCGCGCGCGCCAGGAAGTCGTCACCTGGCGGCCTCCGCTCCGTGAGCGGTTCTGGCAGCCACAACCTCTCGAGCAAGGTCCTGATCGTGATGGGGTCGCCCTTGTCCTTGAAACGCTCCAGCTCCCATGGAAGGGTCAGAGGCGGTCAAGCGTCTTGACACTCCATGTGCCTATGCCAAAGCGTCCCCATCTTGCTGGGGCACCGCAAACAAACAACGTAAGGGTTGAGGCCTGCCGCGCAGTGCCGCTCGTTGAGCCACTGAGATCTGGCATGCCCAGCTTCACTGGGCGTCAAAGTCCTCCAAGCCTTAGCGACCTTGGCGGGGCCTCGGCCCGACGCGACCCACGGCCTGACCTGCGGCAGGAAGGCGCCGCCAACACCGTAGATGTCGTAGTGCGTGCTCTTGGCCAGCTGAGCCAATTGCCACCGCTCGACGCCTCGCGTGACAATCTGCTTGACCGTCCAGGGGGAGTGCACCGCCAAATCGAGCTTCTCGCCCGCGTCGGTGACCCAATCAGTGAAGGAGCTGAGTGTGAAGCCGGTCCTCTGCGCGGACATCACTTCTGCTCCGAGCGGACCACGCGCGTCGCCCCAGTGCTTGGCGACCCTCACGTTCCACTCGCAAGTAGACTGCAACATGGACGTCGGAACCACTTTCTCCCACGCAGCCTTGGCCAGCATCATGACAGGCCCCAGCGCGGCAGTGAAGATTGGGTCCAATGACTTGGCCCCCCAAGAGCATCAACGCTGCGGCGGCGTCCTTGCCTGCTGGCCGTGGCCCCACGGCCCTGGCAGTGATGCAGAGCATCCTGGACAACTCGCTGGAGTTGAAGCCAGCGCAGCTGACGCCGTGCATCGCCGAAGGGTGGAGGCCTGTGAACGCGACCCTAGCTGCAGCAGTGCGCCCGCGCCTCAGACCCCAAAAGCCCCGCACCTTGCCCAGGCAAAGCTCGACGTTGGCGAAGCGTTGCTGCCAAAGGGCCCGAGCTGTACGTCGCCCCTCTGCATGATCGATGCCCAGGTGGCGCGCGTGACGAGCCCCTTGGACTCCAGCCATCTTGAGCAGGCGCCTCGGTATGTTGCTGCGCAAACCTGGTGTGTTGCCCATGACCTTAGACTTCTTGACCGCGATCTTGAGCTTAGCGTTCTTCAGCTGCTGCGCCAATGCGCGACACGCGCCCGCAATATCGTCCTGCGCACGTTTGGTACCGCCCCAGCGCTGGAGCACCAAATCGTCGACCACGATTGCTGGCGTGACGGCCCCGAACCGCGACCATCGTCGAGCGGCTGCAACAACATGAGCTTCATGAAGCCCGTGGCGAGCGCGTCTCCAGCGAGCACCGTCTGGAAGACCAGCAACTCCTGCGAGCAGCACCCGTCGAGGTGAAGCACCCTCGGCGCACGGTACTGAGATCTGCAGCTTGGCTAGCCAGGGCGAAAATCGAACTTGATGACTGCCTGCGCGAGGCACCAATGCGAGGCCTGCTCGAATGCCTTCCAAAGGTCCAGCAGGATGCTGGCAGAGGCCCAGTCTTGAGCGGGATGAAGTTCAACCATCATCGCAATCCACTCTGATCTCGTCTGCTGCTGCCACACCGCCCTGTCACATGAGCGCCCTGAGCATGCCCACCAGTAGGGCCTGTCACTGGCCTTCTCCCACTGCTGCATGGTGGGTCTGCGAAGCCTGCCGTGAACTCTGACCACCGCTGCCAACAACGCGATGGGTCGAAGACCTCCACCTGCCTTGGGAGTGAAGGCCATCTTGGTGATGAAGCTGGGCCGATCTGCCTGCTGCTCGATG